TTGTAATCAGGTGGACTTGTAATCTGGTGCACTTGTAATCAGGTGGACTTGTAATCTGGTGTACTTGTAATCTGGTGCACTTGTATTCAGGTGGACTTGTAATCAGGTGGACTTGTAATCTTGTGCACTTGTAATCAGGTGGACTTGTAATCAGGTGGACTTGTAATCAGGTGGACTTGTAATCTGGTGCACTTGTAATCAGGTGGACTTGTAATCTGGTGCACTTGTAATCAGGTGCACGTGTAATCAGGTGGACTTGTAATCTGGTGGACTTGTAATCAGGTGGACTTGTAATCAGGCGGACTTGTAATCTGGTGCACTTGTAATCAGGTGGACTTGTAATCAGGTGGACTTGTAATCTGGTGGACTTGTAATCAGGTGGACTTGTAATCAGGTGGACTTGTAATCTGGTGCACTTGTAATCAGATGGACTTGTAATCAAGTGGACTTGTAATCAGGTGGACTTGTAATCAGGTGGACTTGTAATCAGGTGGACTTGTAATCTTGTGCACTTGTAATCAGGTGGACTTGTAATCAGGTGGACTTGTAATCAGGTGGACTTGTAATCTGGTGCACTTGTAATCAGGTGGACTTGTAATCTGGTGCACTTGTAATCAGGTGCACGTGTAATCAGGTGGACTTGTAATCAGGTGGACTTGTAATATTAGCATGTCAACTCTATGTTGGCTACTGAAGAAGGGGACGGAGCAGGGGTGCAATGATGGTGTCAGTTCATTTATTTATTTATTCCGTCTTCAACAGCCAGCAAAGAGTTCTAGTTCCGATGATGCCAGTGGCATTTTGATTTTATGTTGGTCGTGACTTTTCTCACTGTAGAGCAGAGGTTCACAAACTGGGTGCCGTGAGCGTATGCCAGGGGTGCCGCGAGCGTATGCCTGGGGTGCCGAGAGCGTATGCCAGGGGTGCCGTGAGCGTATGTCAGAGGTGCCGTGAGCGTATGCCAGGTGTGCCGAGGTAATAACGAATTTTTCAAAATGTGCTTGAAATCAGCTAAGATAGCAGTTTAAAACAGAAATACTGTGAAGGAAGCTTAGAAAGCTCTTGATGCAGGTATATTTTGAAGACAATACTATCGCAAGGCTGCAGTGCATTCTCAACGTACCCCTGTATACACAAAAAATATACAGGAGCAAACTTTTTGGATCAACTGTTTTGACAGTAAAATTAACCAAACTTTCCATACAGATAAAGGAAATAATGAAACATTAATTCAAACAGTTTCATTCATCGCCTTAAAGCAACTGAACATCAAATGTGCACTTTCCCCCCTTCTTTTCCTACGTATTCAAACCACTTTAAGGGTATAAATGCCGCGAATATTTTTTTTTTTTTTTTGCCCGACAAGGGTGCCGCAGCGTAAAAAAAGTTTGAGAAACGCTGGTGTAGAGTGTCGACAAGATTCCCCGATCACTCCCATGTGTATCAATAATATAATCCAACGGTTGAATGGGGTTTCTGGGACTTGTGCTTGGGTGATCCTCATCCGAACGGTGTCGCATTGTGTCACCGGATATTGGTCGCTCGTTGTACGGTCCTGTTGAGATTGAACGACACAGACACTTTTGCTTCTAAAAAAAAGATTTCCTGATCACTCCCATGTGTATCAATCATATAATCTAACGTTTGAACAGGCTTTCTGGGACATGCTGGGGTGATCCTCATCCGAACGGTGTCACATTGTGTCACCGGATATTGGTCGCTCGTTGTACGGTCCTGTTGAGGTTGAACGACACAGACACTTTTGCTTCTCAAAACAAGATTCCCTGATCACTCCCATGTGTATCAATCATATAATCTAACGGTTGAACAGGGTTTCTGGGACATGCTCGGGTGATCCTCATCCGAACGGTGTCACATTGTGTCACCTGATTTTGGTCGCTCGTTGTACGGTCCTGTTGAGGTTGAATGACACAGACACCTTTGCTTCTCAAAACAGAGCCACCTGTGCAGATAATCACATCACCTGGAGGGGAGTTATCATGATTCAACTGTTGAATTTCCGATTCAGTTCTCAGAAATGTCTTTGTCCTATTTGTCTTGATGTATACTTTTGTTGTCTTCACTTTGTTGAAGCTGTCACTATCGTATTTTTTTTTCTTCTGTAATCGGCGCACATATATAGTCGTCGATATTAATCTCTTTGCCATTATTCACTTTGTAGATCTTTTATCTCACAGCGGTGTCACCATAGCTGTTCTCGATTCTCCTTTTTCACGGAAATAGGTTCTTTTGCTTTCACTTTCGTATGGACTATTTTCTAACTTCGTCTATTATAATGAGAACTATTGTCGACATCATGGATAAAATCCGAACGCAGCACAGACTAGAAATGTAGGTAACTTAATTGAACATAAAATATGGCTAGGAAACACAATGTAAGGAAAAGAGGTGAACAAATACAACAGTACTTTTCAGCTAAGTCTTTATCAACGAAACATTTGGTTTTGCTAGTGCTCGTCTTTTCCTTTCCCACCAATTTTCAGTAATTTTTTATGTTGTGTTAAATTACTTTCGGATACCAGCTCAACTGAAGTCATCTAACTTTAAGGCATATCCGAATCTCTTACGCTAAACACGATTAGATGAACTCGGAGTAAAGTCTTTTGAAGCATGTAGGTGTCCTTTTCGAGATCAAGATTTGAGGCGTTTTAACCAGGGAGTGTTTCTGATGGTAAGCAGTGCCAACACCTTTTAGGCATCAATTTAAACACTACTGTAATAGACACTGAGTGGTGAGCACCTGCATATTTGAAAAAAAAAAAAACACTTTGTAGTGAGTACTGGCACCTTTTTTACATGGAACAAAAAAGTCCTGATCGTAACCAACTTCTCATGGGCACAATCAGTAGAGCTATCTTGGGTGGCTGGTGCATCGGAGGCCTGTGCATGCACAGGAATGTCAAATATCAAGTGACGTCAACTGTTATAAGTTATGATACAACATAATATAAGCTTATCCTTTTGGTATTGATTTCTGCTCATAGAAGAGACACTTCTCTTACATTTTGCCCATTGATAGAAACCACATCCGGTTCTGTTTTAGAGTTATGTTTCTTGCCATGGCTTCATCCTGACTACAACCGCATACACTTCATCATCTGTTTTCATGGTTTTGCTTTCATGCCGTCATAATCACCACAGTCTCAAACTCATGTTTACCCGCCGTCTTACATACTCCCCTTCAAAGCCCAGCTGCCAACACAGTTGCCTTTCAAACCTATGCACGTCTTCAATGCATCGCTGGCTCAGTGAGTGACTGGGTTTTGGACTAAACCCCAGTCATAACACAGGTCAGAAATATAAATAACTTTTGCTGTTTCATTGTCCCGGTTTCGTGTTTTCCCACTAAACATTGATTGGGCACTTTATATAGACTTGGAAATTCTGGGTATGATTTGTGCAGGGATAAGTACGTCATACAAAACCCCGTAACATTAATAAAAGGACTGAAGTTTATTCTCAGCTGATCATTCCTTGGAGCTTACTCAACTTCCTGATACTGATCATGTTTAGTCTGATCAGTGCCGAGTTGCTAAGTACTAAGTAATCAGCAGTGGATAAGATTTGATTAAAACCCCTATAAGTGGATATTTGTTATTTAGAGAACATTTCCTCTGAAAAGGAATCAAAGAAAGTTAACTTTTGGTAAAAACCAACTCATGACACGATAATTATTGGTGTTTCCAAAAATAATATATTATTCTTGCTGTCGTCTGTCATTGACGTGTTATATCAATCATTTGCTTCTGAATTATAAGTTTAACTATTTCTGCCCTAGAGTGTTCTTGTGGAACTCATTAGGCCCTAAATATTTATTGCTTTTAAGCTCAGTTGCTCAGGATATAAACGTTTTAAGTTACAACTGCTCAGGGCTGGAAGAGGTAACTAGCATATCGTTCAAGTTTCAGTGATGACCAGAAAAGGTTGATGTGGACTAGTTCCTTGTTCTATAGAATACTTTGCGCAGCTGACTAATGGACTGAATTAACTGAAGAATGTAAACATTCCATTTAGTTAAAGGATTTTCCATCTCTCTCTCTCTCTCTCTCTCTCTCTCTCTCTCTCTCTCTCTCTCTCTCTCTCTCTCTCTCTCTCTTATTCTCTGTCTCTCTCTTTCTCTCTATATATAAATATATATATATTTATATATCAACAACAACAAATCAGGTGCATGGTCAACAAAATCCATCATCAGCAATTGCGTGTCATATTCTAAATTCAGGGCACATCATTAACAGGGATGATGCATTTAGAATTATTTACAATTTGGCCAACTGTAGATTACTCTGATATGCAGAAGTTTCCGCGATCAGCCCGTTGAAACCAGAACTCTGAAGGCAAAAAGAAATGGTGGTTACCTTGGTGAAACAGTTTAGAATGTACTCCAATTTGTGTTTCAGTTTTTAGGATTCAACTATTTGCTTCATTTTAATCCATTGTTACTGTAGTATGCACCTGACAAGATACAGTGAAATATGCCAGGCAATAAATTGTGCAGTCTATTGTTTGTGTCTTCTTTGTTCATATTTATATATATCAAAAGTGCCAGAATCTGGCAGTTTATGTTCTGTCCACCCACGCCATCCTCATCCAGTCTTACCTCACCCATTCACCTATGCACGCATCAGTCTGTCTGGCTTCTGCCTGAATGTCTGTCTTAACTCTTTCAGTCCCATGAGATTCTCTCAGCTAATTCTCAAGGGAATGAATGACCATTATGAAAAGTCACAAATGCATAACCTCCAAATAGGCACATTTTGCTGAGAATGTAGCTATTAGGGAAGCCATTTTTTTTTAGTATGCTCTGACCAAGAAGTAAAATAATAGTTATGATTCACGTCACAAGTTGCATGAGACTGCAGAAATTAACTGCCAGTGTTTCTCGTTAACATTCATATTTATATCTGAAACAAAAAAATCCAGGCATTTCTAGGTGATGTTCACTGTTGACATCCTCACCAGTCCTGATCCGTTAAACAATGCCTACTGTGTTGGGTTGGGGCAAAGCCAGCCTGGGAGCTCTTGGCTTGCCTGGCTCTGAGCACACCAGCGTGTCAAGCCCACACCAGATCCGGTCACTTGAAGGTGTGGAGATCCAGAGCATCAGCAGTGGGGAGAACCATACCTTAATCTGCACGAGGGATGGCTCGGTCCACAGTTGTGGTGCTAGTGACTTTCAGCAGTGTGGTCGTGGTGGTATTCTGACACAGTTTGGTGAGTTGACATCGAGGCTGTATGCAGTGTTTATTTGTGGTTGCAATATTGTTTGTCAACTGGGGCTCATTGGGGGAGAAAATAATAGATCCACTACTCTTTATCAAAAATGTGAAAGGGGATTAATTAGGGGTTTTCTTTGCTTTGAAGTCGGAGTGTATCTACCTGAGAAGCATAGAGCAAACAGCCTGCATACGAATAGTCCAGATTTATAAAAGGGATGTGCATAGAAAACTCAGGTCCTGGAACAAAGCCAGAGTCCAGAAATGTATTAAAAATCTAGACTTACTGCTAGAGTTTACAGACATGAACACAAGCAACAACAAGAGTTTTCTTCAGTTAGATGTGTTGAGCTAAAAGGTGCAGATGTAGCAGCCTGGCTGTAAACCACAACACATCTTAGGATGAACACAGAAAAGTACAATCAGTCAGGTGCCATCTCCACAGTAAAGGTTGGCTGAGAATCAGTCAGGTGCCATCTCCACAGTAAAGGTTGGCTGTGGCAGATTTCTACCATGCTCTGCCTTCCACCCAGCTTGTACACTGAAAGACTTGAGTTTTGACATCTTTTGTTGTTATTCTCCTGTTTATGTCACTGTCTTTCTTTCCCCCTGTTAGTGTATGAATACTTCACAATCCAAATGTAAATTTATTTGGCCTTGTGACTACATTTAAATAAAAACAAATGATTTAGCAGATATTATGGCATCAGTAGCGGGATTACAGTTACGAATAGACAGATATATTGAAGAAATTACCAACAGATCAAGAGATGTCAAAATAAATAAAAAAAGAATTAAAGTAGCAGATTAGTTTACGTATGGGGGTAGCAGTTTGGATTTAGATTGCCAGGAAACACACACAAAAATAATACACATTGGCCTGAACAAAATATGCAACTCTTAAATTATATAGTTTTAAAACCAAGATACATATTTATTAAGTCTAATGTTATTTAAGTTTTTATGTTTGCCAGTGAAAGACAATCCCAATCAGCACAAAGAGACATCTTATTCAAAGCATATTTATTCCAACTCTGTGCTACCAGTGCCAGACATGGTCACTCACAACAAACCATAAAAGAAAATTAGTAACCACGGAAATGAGATGTCTGAGAAGGATATTGGGTACATCAGAGGAAATAAGTTTTTTGTGATTTGCCTGCCAGGTCAGAGGTACTGGGTTCAAAATGTATTGTATAAAAGAGTAAAACTCAGTACAGTGAATTCTATTTTCTTGACTGTAAACCTTTCAAGACAATTAAGTATGAGTTGATTCTGTGGTTGCTTAGGTCGAGTGGAAGGGTTGGATTCCCAGCATGTGATCCAGGTGTCTGCAGGTGCTTCACACAGCGTTGCACTTACCCAGGCTCATGAAGTATTCACATGGGGGAAAAACGACTCTGGTCAGCTTGGTCGGGGAGAAGTCCCCCTTGAAAATCAGGGGATACCAAAGTGAGTACATCCTTGTTTTCTTTAGTTTCATGAAGGCATCTATTGGTCACTCATCATCAACATGTAGCAGGTCCTTTGCAGAATGTCGCTGTCATCACGGTCTGCCTGAAAGAAACTCGTCTCTCGTCAACCCTCCTGCCTCATGTACTTTCATACCCAGTCATTTCTTTCTTGTACCTATCTCCCTACTGGACTGGTCATTTGGTCAGAAGGAACAAAATCAGCCAGAAGCTAGAGCGTTCTACATGAGAACATAAAACTACAAGTCAGTAGGCCGATCAAGAAAGAGATGAGCGAAGGGAGTAAAAGAGACTACAGAAACACAGTATGATGTTAACAGAAGTTATGCTACTAGCAAAAGACAGGAAACTACATCTAACTGCTTTCTGCAACACTTTAAAACATAAGCAGTATGACAAAAGAGGAAGAAGAAGAAGACTCAAGGAGCCACTATTTAGAAGCTGAACCAACAAAAACATCACAGATTTTCTGGCTGGTATTTTTTTAATTGTTCTTCCCATGGACAAAACTTTGCTTTACATTGAGATAATAGAACATAAGTCCCACATTGTATCAGGCAGGTTTTTAAAAACTTTTTTTAAAAGTCATTTAAAATTTGTCTCCAGATTTTCTATCTTTTACCCCTCTCACTGAAACTTGGGCTGTCATTAAACAAAGGTTAACCCTCTGTAAATCTTTTCTTTATGCATCTCTATGTCTCTATCTGAGTTGAACTGAGTCAAGAACCAACATGGCCAGATCCCGTGAGTGTTGGCCAGATCCCCTGAGTGTTGGCCAGATCCCGTGAGTGTTGGCCAGATCCCCTGAGTGCTCCTTGCTGCACCATTTTCTGCAGACCATAATGATCTGTTTATGCCTCCAAACTGTTCATTCACCCCCAGATAGCCTCCTTGATAACTTCTGGCTTGTCATACATAAACTAAACACCATCCCTCTATCGCTATTCTCCTGTAAATTTCAGTGTAAGGTCATTATTGTTATACTATTTTCATATTTTCTCATTGTGGGTCATATCCAGCGCCAGAATCTTTATCTCACCTCCTTGTGTAACTGGAGAGTGTTGTTGTTGTTGTAATTCTTTCCCTAAGCTCCACATTAGTGTTTCTGTGATACTATATACACTCTTTATTTTCCACAGGCACCAGTTAATGAATGTGTTTAGTCCCAATTTTATACATTTTAATTTATGGCCTGTGTGACTCTGTGGCTTAGAGTTTAGTGATATTGTTTGACAGTTCAACCCTTTTCCTACCTGGAGGCAGTTTAGAAATTCTTTTTCAGAAAATGGTTTGAGAGTTGCACAATAGAGACTGGGTCCTCACCACATGATAGGTACCAGAAGGTTTTACAGGAGATTAAAAAAATGAAGAAATAACCATTGATAAAAAATCATTTTTTAAATACATTCAAAGTGTCAATATACACAGTGTTAGTGACCATTTGGGAAAGCCAGATTTCTTTAGTGAGTTCTGACTAAAATTAAAAATAAGAGAGGACATTATGCTGTGGAGGGGAATCAAGAGATAGATTTAGGTCAGTGTTTTCCCAAACTTTTTTGGCCCACCGACTCCTTTTCAGTAAAAAAACATCGCCCAGCGCCCTCCTGGAATTATCATGATCATCATGGGCCACGATGAAAAGCATAAGCAGTCATCATTCGTCATCTTAGACAATTAGCAGAATTGCATATACGGTGGTACTCTTCACTCGCCTCATGTATGTGGCCAAGCTATCTAGGGCTTTTCTCCTGCCCCATGCATGTGGCGAAGCTATCTAGGTGTTTATCTCTTCGCTCTTCCTCTGTTCTCTTTTTATTAATCTTGCTAGTTGTCACCAAGTTCTCTTGTCTATTCCTTGCCTTGAAATATACCTTCTGTCAAGAAAAAAGAATAATATACTAGCAGAACTAAAGAATAACTCATACATAACAAAAAGGATTAATCTGATTGGTTATAACATAATTTTCTGTTTATTTTGAAAAACAAAACATTCATTAGGATTTTAATCTGTTACACTGTATTGAGAAAGGTACAAACAGTTTATCAAGATGGTCTCTCTCTCTCTTTTTATCTTTCTCTCTACTGTTAGTTTTATTCAATGATTTCCAGCTGCACCTGAGGCTGCTGCCGCCCCCCCCCCCCCCCCCCCCCCCGAGCATCCCAGCCCACCAATGTGATTGAGGCTGCTACATCTCCCTTCACAGCCACGTGTACAATTTAAGATTAATCAGCCATGTGCACATGGGAATTGACATCTGAGACAACAGATCCCATCCTCCAAGACTGTCGCAAATACAAAATATCAAGACAAAACTTCTGGCCAAGAGAAACACCGGTTGAAGCCACACTTTACGGGTCGCTGAGTGAATTACAACAGACAGTGAAGTTTTTACAAGAGACAACACAGCAGATATAGATAATTTATTTTGGGTGAATGAAAGAAGAAGAGGTTTTATGAAAATGATGGTCTGGCACCATATGCCCCATGCACCAGGGGTGTAAAAAGGCTCCTTTACTTCTTAGCTTTTACTCAAGCAGACATCAGTTACAGGCAAGGATGTCAAAGACAAAAAAGGAATCACTTAAGCCTTACCGAGGATTTAAAACATGTCTTATGATGTGTGATGACCATTCTTTGCAAGCCGATCAGAAAACTCATGTAAGAGACGACAGCACAGGATTTTTGGGACTGGAGAGATGAGCCAGGAAAAGCCCGAGGTTGGCTCATGGTCAGTTGCGTACCAGAGGTCAAGCAAGACATTTGTGATATTTGAGGATGTAGTTTGAATGAGATCTGTTCAACATTGTGTGAATGACTATAGTCGTAGTATTGTGGAAGAATCAGAAGGAATCAACTGACAGAACGTATACTGGAAATTGAGCTCTGTTCTGCATTATTCATTGTAGAAAGTTGTGTTTGTTTCCAAGCAGGCCGGTTACTACAAGCGAGCCAACATTATTGCAAGTGGGTGACTCAGTGAAGAAAATTTGAACCACATGGACATTAGTCACGAAATGCAAACATTTTCAGTAGCAAAGACACGAGTCAGTTTCAGTGTCTAGCAAGCATTCTGACCCTCCCACAGCCACCTAGTCCAAATGACTGATTTTACATGTCATTTCCAACACCACACTATTGCCATTATTATCGGACAAATCTTTATATTGCAGACTGGTGAAGTCACTTGCAGTGCGCTGTGTATTGCAAGTCTCCTGCGGTAGTGATCATTCTATTGCTCTGACAAATGGTGTGTATCTCCTTGTTGTGTTGCAACTTTCTCTGTATCAGGTAATCAGATAATAATCGCAGTTCCAACATGGCAGCAGATGTGACATTCCATGGTTGCTTCATTTCTGTGCCAGCAAAAACTACAGAGAATGCCCATCTCTGTCCCTTGTTTAAAATTTTTTTTTTGTGTGTACAAAGACAGCAATCTCAGCAAAACCAGTAGCATGGGCACTTATTAAATGCATTAGGCAGCAGCCATAAGTGCCAACACAAATAGTCCAGCACTAGTAATGCAGTTTATCATCGATGGAAGCAGCAGTTAACAGATCAGCCGTTATGGACACACAATTAATAGCAAATAGCACTATCAGTTGTGTAGCCACTTGCCACTCACCATTTTCTGAATCTGATATTCAGAATACAAACCACATTTAGGCATAGTCTGAAAGTATTTGAAATCAAATTTGCAGCTCACAGTGCCGCACCGTGCACTCAACTCAGTAGCTGGCCGACGGATGTATGTTTGAAGCAGGCTGTATTGTATTCTATGGAGGAAATGAACATTTTCACTGCTGTAGATTTAACCCAGACCACATAAAGATGAAGGCTCAGGTCCTAATGGAACCAGGTTTTCTTCGAAAATGACCTTGCCTCCCAGGTGGATCTAGTCTTGAATGGATACCAGTTGCAGTCCTGGGAAGTAAAGGCGGCTGGCGTGATGTTGACCACATCACCCACCAAGTGCTGATTGGTTTATAAAATATAGGGCTAGCCCTATATGCCCTTTACTCCTGAAGGCATGGAAAAGGGTTGATAAAGTGGCACCTTTCTGCCTTTCCAGATGACAATGCTCCATTGTGCTGTAATAGAGAGGTAGGGTAATCACAACCCATAGCGATCGCAAGTGTGGACTATAAAGACCAGCTCACTTTAAGAAGAATCTTCCAGAATAAATGCATGGGTATTTTGAAACCTTTGTCTGCCATCAAATGTATTTGAAATGTTTCTTCTAAGATGTTCAGCTTTTAGCTTGTCTGCAAGCCTTTCCTTGTGTGGTAAGTGAGTGTATTAAATGCGCGCAATGAAAGAGCACCCAGCAATGGACAGAGGACCCTTACGCATCTTGGAACAGCTGTTAAACTTTCCATATTGAAAAGTGTGTTCTGCTAATATATTGTGAACTTTGATGTTATTGTTGCTGGAGGTGTTAGATGAAATAATATGTGTAAGAATGTGTGAATGAAGAATTAGGAGTGGATTCGGCAAGGACCGGCATATGAGAGGAAGTGAATGACGTGTGTATAATCAGTGTGCTACGGGAACAGTTTACATCTACATCCTAAGACATTTGCTGCGGGAGACGGAGCACCTGTGGGTTTGCCCCGTATGCTATAATGTCAGTTCTTAAATCTTTAATCAGTAATCAGTCGCCGTTACTGTCATGCAGTGGCTCAATAGAGATCCTATTAAGTTTGTGATGCAGCTGAACATAATGCACATAATGTTCTGGGTGTATATTTGTATAAACCACTTGGCACTTGAGGTTTGATATAGTCAGTGTCTCCCCAAGAATTGTCCTGTTTCTCATTTTAGACTGAGTCAACCATGGAACCCCAGGTCAGTTTTCAGTTTTGCTTCAATCTGGATTTGAACCAGTGATCTCATGAGTGCTATCCCTGCTTCTTGTGCACACTAAAAGACACTGCAAAACAGACACAACACAATCAGCATCCTGTTAAGTTTGAGAAAGAAAACTCCCCGTGTGGGTTTCCGCGACCCCATTTTTGAGAGACAAAGAACAGACCCACTGCACCTCAACAAGCATATTAAGTGCTCGCATGGCTCGAAACACAAAACTACACGCACACAAGTGTACTCAGTCATTCAATGAGTATCATCCGGAGAGTTCAGGCAGGTTCTGTGCAAAGGCAATGGCTTGAATCATTACATAAGTCCACTGTGCGTGGAGTCACCTTTATTTTTTTTTCTGGGACACTCGTAAATGAAAGAGCTGATAGGTTGGCTGGATCCGATGGTCAGCCTGTGGATGATGCGAATATTAATAATATCCTCTGAGAAAACGGAAGAGTGGAGGACTTTGGGGGCATTGAATCCACATCACTCGCCAGAATGATAGATTTGGGTGTTATGATCGGGACAGCAAAAAATGAGATGCAGGCCAGGCATATCAGAGGACTTGTTAATCAGCTTTGAACTGGTAGTATTAGCTACAGGATGCTGGTTTTCATACTGAGGGGAGGATCTGAGCACATATGGACATGTCCGGAGTGCAATGATGATAACCCAACTGACTGACTAAGCATATCATAGAAGGCAGGTAATCAAGATGTAGCTGAAATCAGATGTGTTGGGCTGAAATTACTGACTAGTATGTCAGCCACTCTCTTGAGGGTGAATGTGGAAGAAGAAGAAGAATACAGAAATAATGTCATGTTTCCCCGCATGTTGTCTGTCCAACAGAGGGTTTGATCTTTGTCTGGGGCTCAAATTCCTACGGACAGCTGGGCTTGGGCAAGAACGCACCATCCCACCAGAATCTTCCAGAGCTGGTCTCATGTCTGAAGGGTATTCCCGTCCGACAGGTGACAGCAGGCGGTAATCACACACTCATCCTGTCGAAGTCTGGGGCAGTCTATGGCTGGGGCAGGAATAGGTAAGACTTGCAGTGTAAGCTTTGAAGCTGACCCTTGTCTGTTTGATTGCCCTGAATATTATGTTTTCAGTTCTCTGGCAGTTTGTGTACAGTATTTAAGAATAATTATTGTGTTTTTGTGTTCTTTTTTGTTGTTGTAAAGAATTAGCCAGTCTCATGTAAAAAAAAAAAAAAAACATAAAAAAAAAAATACAAATCATAAAATACTAAACATTCTTCTGTTTTGTTTTAATGTAATGTTCCTTAGCTTTATTACAATGATCATATTAATTATTAACATTAAAATTAGTAATGTATGGATGATTCTTGGCATTGTCCATGAATTTGTAATCAGGTTATTATTTTTATGTGTGAAGGAAAAGTGTGAGGAAAAAGAGAGTAGAACGAATAGAGAAATAGACCGCGAGCCCAATATGATATATAATGGCACAACAGGACAGTGAATGTGTGAATAAATAACAACTGCATGTATTCATTGCTAATAGATCATTGCGGTCTACAGAGAATAGCGCTACGAGGAGTTATCAGGGGATCTGGGCGATGCTCAACACTCAGGGGAAGGAAGAGACTGATATACAATCAGACAAGTTACTGGTACCATCAGAATTGGAACTCTTCACTTGCTGCTGAAGATGGGGCTTGCACTTATAGGAGTGTCCGGAGTACTGTGATGTCGATTCTTAATTCAACATCAAACGTTTAGATCTCACTTATGAATAATTTTTTTACTTCATTGGATTTGTGATTTAAAACAAATCTCTTATGGGTATGTGTAATCTTCTTTTAAAATCTCCACATGCATTCCTCTGTATTTAGAATGGTCTAATTTTCTATCTGCAGTTTTGGCCAACTGGGACTGAATGACACAAAAGGTAAGCCTCATGGGTTCTTGTATTACCCAACTGCTGGTTGGTGGCTGTTGGTTTGTGTGATCTGACATGTACCTGTATAATTAAAACTTATTTCCACCAAACGGTTGGAATGATGAATCATTTTAGCCTGATAATTGCTCAGTTTTCACAATTTTTACCTCTTCAGCTTGCGTTACTTTACATTATTTCATTGGAAGAAATTGTTACATTAAATAATAAATACTTGGCTCTGAGGGGTATACATGATAACACTATGGGGCATAAGTTAGTACACTTATATTTCTTTCTTTACATATATTTCTTTACACTTATATTTCTTTCGGAAGATTACTACCAACATGCACGTACAACACCAAGATTATAGAACATGCACACATATATTTGTTCTATCCTGAAGATTACTACCAACATGCACGTACAACACCAAGATTAGAGAACATTAGTAAGCACACATATATTTGTTCTATCCTGAAGATTACTACCGACATGCACGTACAACACCAAGATTGGAGAACATTAGTAAGCACACATATATTTGTTCTATCCTGAAGATTACTACCAACATGCACGTAAAACACCAAGATTAGAGAACATTAGTAAGCACACATATATTTGTTCTATCCTGAAGATTACTACCAACATGCACGTAAAACACCAAGATTAGAGAACATTGGTAAGCACACATAAATTTGTTCTATCCTGAAGATTGCTACCGACATGCACGTAAAACACCAAGATTAGAAAACATTAGTAAGCACACATATATTTGTTCTATCCTGAAGATTACTACCGACATGCACGTACAACACCAAGATTAGAGAACATTAGTAAGCACACATATATTTGTTCTATCCTAAAGATTACTACCGACATGCACGTAAAACACCAAGATTAGAGAACATTAGTAAGCACACATATATTTGTTCTATCCTAAAGATTACTACCGACATGCACGTACAACACCAAGATTATAGAACATGCACACATATATTTGTTCTATCCTGAAGATTACTACCAACATGCACGTAAAACACCAAGATTAGAGAACATTAGTAAGCACACATATATTTGTTCTATCCTGAAGATTACTACTGACAAACATGTAAAACACCAAGATTAGAGAACATTAGTAAGCACACATATATTTGTTCTATCCTGAAGATTACTACTGACAAACATGTAAAACACCAAGATTAGAGAATATTAGTAAGCACACATTTATTTGTTCTATCCTGAAGATTACTACTGACAAACATGTAAAACACCAAGATTAGAGAACATTAGTAAGCACACATATATTTGTTCTATCCTGAAGATTACTACCGACATGCACGTACAACACCAAGATTAGAGAACATTAGTAAGCACACATATATTTGTTCTATCCTGAAGATTACTACCAACATGCACGTACAACACCAAGATTAGAGAACATAAGTAAGCACACATATATTTGTTCTATCCTGAAGATTACTACCAACATGCACGTACAACACCAAGATTAGAGAACATTAGTAAGCACACATATATTTGTTCTATCCTGAAGATTACTACTGACAAACATGTAAAACACCAAGATTAGAAAACATTAGTAAGCACACATATATTTGTTCTATCCTGAAGATTACTACTGACAAACATGTAAAACACCAAGATTAGAGAACATTAGTAAGCACACATATATTTGTTCTATCCTGAAGATTACTACCGACATGCACGTACAACACCAAGATTAGAGAACATTAGTAAGCACACATATATTTGTTCTATCCTGAAGATTACTACTGACAAACATGTAAAACACCAAGATTAGAGAACATTAGTAAGCACACACATATTTGTTCTACCCTAAAGATTACTACCGAAATGCACGTAAAACACCAAGATTAGATAAAATGAATAACTTACTTACTTAGTCGCTCCTCTTCTACCTTGGGGTGTAGAGGTTTGCCAGAGAGATCGCAAGACGTCTCTATCAGCAGTTTTCTTTCTGGCTTTGTTCCATTCCAGTCCTCTGTCAGTCAGGGACTGTCGGATGTTGTCTTCCCAGCGCACCCTGGGTCGTCCCGGAGGTCTGGTTCCCTGGTTCTTAGCCTCCCATGCTTGCCATGGTGGCCGATTTTCTCCCATTCTGCACACATGTCCAAACCATCGTAACTGTGACTGATCCACTCGGGTTAGTAAGGGCTGGGTATCAAGATCTTGACGTATTGTCTGATTGCGGACTTTGTCCCTTCTTGTCACTTGGACCACCTTTCTCAGGTATCTCATTTCCGAGGCCTGCAGCTGGCTTCTGTGAGCTGTTGTCATTGCCCATGACTCACACCCATAGGTCAGGACTGGTACATAGGTAGAGCGGTAAACAGCCGTTTTCGTCCTCTTGCCAATTTCTCTTTTGCTAAGAAACCCTCGGTTTATGGCCTGGAAGAGTCTCCCAGCAGCTGCTTTTCGTGTAGCCAGCTCAGTCTTAATGCCTCCATTTAAAATGAATAAACCAACATATATTTGTTCTATCCTATAGATTACTACCAACCACAGCAGTGCAGACCACTTAGAAACCAACGGATTAAGTACATCTGTTGTGGGGATAACCATTCAGCTTGCTTGACCAAGGTGAGAAAGGTTGAGTTATAAGTTAAGAACGGACATCATAGCAAACGGGCATTCACATAAGTTGAAGAAGAGGGGGACAAAGAAGAACTTGGAATGACAGCCAACATCAAGAAATGGACCAGACTAAATTAGTATACACTTGTTCAACAAGCAGAAGACAGAGAATGATTGGTTGGTTTTGTGTGCTTATGCTTTCCGTCAATACTTTAATGGGTCAAGGGTTATATATAAATGTATTTGGGGAGGGGGGAGGTGCACTGCCCCTTTCGAGACAGGTCATAAAAGTCGACTAATTAAGTGGTTTTCCTCCAAGATCAGAGTGCATCTGTCTGAAAGGTGAGGAAGCAACAGTCTGCTCACACATAAGTTAGATCTGTAAAACAGATGTGCATGCAAAACTCAAGTTCTGAAACCAGACTCAAGTCTAGAAGTTGATGAACAACCAGAACTTTCCACTGGGGTGTAAGAGCCAGTGAATGCGAAGAAGAAGAAGATTGGTGTATAGACTATGAATCTAACTCAAAGTGTAGGAAAAAGTTCTTTACTTAAAAGCATCATCATCATGCAACAGGTCTTTACAGAATGTCATTGCTGCCGCCGCCAGCCTGCCACCGCCAGCCTGTCGCTGCAAGCCTGCCTGAAAGAAACTCAGACCCTTGCCAGTTCTCCTTCCTTTAAAAAAACGCATACATCAGATTGGCACACCTGCATTTAATGATATACAAGAAATTCGACCAATAGTTTTCAATTTTAAATTAATGCCATTTTTCCCCAAAGTAGTAATTTATTGAACTATACATGTTATCCCATATGTTTATACATACAGAGAAAATTAAATACTTTGTTAATTAAAAACTTTTTCATTTATTTAATATACTCTACATGACCACCATTGTTATGAAAACACATTTGGATGCATGTCCTCGACTGCCGAAGAACACATTTGAGCACAGCTGGAGTTATGCTTGTAATGGTGTTGGTGATACTGTATGTTAATTTTTCTTTTGTATAGAAACTTTTGGGACACACTGTAGTCACAATCTGGCTAGCAGTGTTGCTTCTATGTCTTAACGTTTGCAGTTTAAATATTTAAAACAGTAGAATAATGCTAAAAATCTGAAAATTTATTTGTTTTAATAATCTTCAATAAGCTGCTTTCTTTAATATGCCAGGATGGTCGTGTTTTCACTTTTGGAGCAGGCAGTTATGGTCAGCTTGGTCACAACAGTAACAACAATGAGGTTTTACCCAAGCAGGTCATAGAATTATCTGGCAGCGTGGTGACCCAGATTGCCTGCGGAAGGTAGAGGATTGTTCTTTTAGTTTTAGGAATATATTTCAAAATGTTGCCTATGCTCTTGTTGTTTGTATTTTTTTGCTCACATTAATTCTCCTAGTGTGGGTTCCAGGGCCCAGTTTTGAGGGAAGCTACCGTAAATTCATTTTGAGGAAAATTTCTGATAAAAATTACTTTAAAAAAAGAACCATTTTACACTTGTCACAAGAAATTCACACAAAATCAGTTTATCATCCACACCATGAACAAGTACTATGCAGAGTAAGTGATTGATTTGATTTGATTTGTTTCAAGAACCGACATCACAGAACTCGGGGCATTCCCATAAGCGCTCCGTCCCCATCTTTAGCAGCCAGCGAAGAGTTCCAATACTAATGGTTCCAGTAGCATTCTGATTAAACATCCGTCTTGCCTTTCCTCTGAGCCTCGAGCATCTGCCAGAACCTCTCGTCATCCCCCGCTGCATCAATCTCACCAGACTGTGGTGATCCATCTGCTCCTCCAAACTACACGCTCTCCCACAATGCACTAACCACATCTGCCTTATCATGTATTAGTATTCCACCAAGTTGTGCAGAGCCATCCAGTCTGTCCGCCTGTTCATTTCCTAACACACCGGCGTATCCCGGTGAAAAAATGCAGACAATACTCCTCACCCGTGTCCTCCGCAGCGAAGCATGCCACTCTGCACAAAGCATACCTGTTCTGATCTTCCTCAGCATGCTTTCTGAATCAGTTACAATCACAATGTATGTGTGTGTCGTGTTCTCTAGCCAGTGGAAAGCTGCAGTGACCGCCTCCACCTCCATTCTTAAGCTGGATGTTGTGGTATCATATGCTAGGCTCTCCTGCACCAAACGTCGACCATTAACTTTTGCTAAGAAGCCCAAAGCACTTCTTTTGCCTCTTGACACTGAACCATCTGTGTAAATGATTAAATCCTCTGAGCGAGCATTATCTTGAATTAATTGCTGAATTTCCACCTCTGTGGCACCTGCTGTCCAGTCTCTGCATTCCCGGCTCAGCGTGATTATGACTCTACACAAGTCCGACTGTTCAGGTGGCACTTTGACCCACTCCTCTCCTTGCCTAATGTTCTCAAGGATGTAAACCTGTCTGATTGTGTCTTCTGCTTGAGCAATCCATGACCTCCCTCTTATCAGCCGCTGACCCTTAACTGCACCCAGAGCTTCATGCAGAGGGTGGTCTGTGTCTGCAGCTACCCTGAGGAATGACTTCGCCTGCAGCACTTTTTGCCTACCTGCAACCGTCGGCAAACCGAGGATGTATCGCATACACATCACTGGGGTGTCTCTGGTGCAACCCAGAATGACCCGCATAGCCGCGTTCTGTATGCGCTCTAGTTTGTCTATCTGACTCTTTGAGACGGTAAGCATTCCCAGGCCATAATCCACCACTGACAGGATCAGGTGCTGATATAGTGTGAAAAGCACTCTCTGCTCTATGTCAATTGCAGCCACAGTCTTAAGTGCACTAAGTCCTTTTTGGCCAGAGTAAGGGAGTTATCAATAAAAGTGAATGCACTATAGAATTAGCTGGTGTTCATCTCTTAGTCCCTGTAAACTAACTACAGCATGCTACTTATTTGACCCTGTGACTCAGTCACTTGGGAATCACTGTAGCCCATGGGGGGGAAATATGACTTTGGTATTTCTATAAATGTAGCCATTTTAATAAAAGGAAACTCCTCCTTAATGCTATTTTTAGTCAATTTAGTTATCTCTTGTCATGTTGACAGTTTGCACAAATGTAGTAAATTCTGTTAGCTCGTGGTTCTCAACCTTCCTAATGCATAGACCCTTTAATGCATTTCCTCATGTTGTTGTAATCTCCAGCCTTAAAATTATTCTCATTGTTACTTCTTAACTTCAGGAAATATGTGTTTTCTGATGGTCTTAGGTGACCCCTGTGAAATGGTCATTTGACCCCCAAAGGGGTCACAACCCACAGGTTAAGAACGGCTGTGTAAGCTAGACATCTCTTAAACATGTCTTTATAACAACTTACAGAGAAATGATAACAGCCGGAAGTATCAGTTTTGTAGCGTCTTGTGGCGAAAAGGTTAAGAAACTGATTTTCTTTTGTTTTTTTTATTTGTTTGCTAAGGGGGCACACACTGGCATATGTTCCTAAATACGGCAAGCTGTATGCTTTTGGGCTTGGAGGAAGTGGTCAGCTTGGGCTGTCAACTACGGAGAACAAGAACAGTCCATTTGCTGTGCCAGTACCTTTTGCTGCAGGCAGCGGCCCTCTGTCATCACATTCCTCGATGCAAATTGACAGCCAGGGCCCAGAACTCAGGGTTAAAAGTATATATGCAGGTGGAGATCACTCCTTTCTTATTGCTGATGATGCAGACGTGAGTAGCCATATTTTTTTTAATGCGAATGTTTTGTGATGGAGAATAATATTTTGTATGAGGAGGATTTTTTTCGTACCATTCGTGAAAATCTTCTCTGCTTAGCGTTCCTGGGCTGTAAACTCTGGCGAAAAGTTCTGGTTGTTTGTCCACTTGTGTACTTTAGTCTTGTTTCAGAACTCGAGTTTTGCATGCACGTAGATCTGGCTTCTTTTTATGCAGACTGATGGTTCCTGGCCTCTCAGGCTGATGTACCCAAAAAAAAAAAAAAAAACCTTATTAGTCACTTTAAATGACTGGTTTTTTAGGAGGGAAGTGGTTTTATTACAAAACCCTCCCCTCCAGTGGGACCCTGGAACCCACATGGAGAGTTCTGGAAAATGAAATATGAGCTGCGCTGGGGGTCCGTTGTGGGGGAGAAAAACAAGAAAAGGCCCACTGTGTCTCCAGAAAGCATGAGAAAAAAAGAGTTTATAGCTAGGTTATGATATCTATACCTTTTTTTACCCGACGTATCTAATTTCAGTACATCCTTAATTAGTCACTTTTTATAACATGCTTGTTCAGGAGGAGCAGGGGGTGTATACCTTTTCCCCACCCAGTTTGGGGCCCAGATTCAGGGGTAATTTATAACCTGCAGGAAGAGTCAGCCTTCTTGAAAAATCATGAGTGAGGGACAAAGATAAATGAGCAGATGCACCATGTTGAAAGAAATTGTTTTAGTAATTCTTCTTGTAAATCACTGCTAATTTGACTAATCTTCTTCTTTTTCTTGTTCACCGGCTGTGAATTCTGGCGGTAAGTCGCGGTTGTTCGTCCAAATAGAATTTTGGCTTTTACCTTGACCTGAGTTTTGCGTGTACATCCGTTTTACTGGCTTATTTGTTTGCAGTTCTCGTTCCCTGCCTCACCGGCAGATGTACTCCGACTTCGGAGGGAAATTTGACTAATGAGTTAAATATTCCAATTTGGTGTCTGGTTTCTTCTTCTTCTTCTGCATGTCTTTTTAAAGGGGTAGCCAAAACTTTGTGTTTTGGTTTACAGCTAGGCTGTAATATCTGCTCTTTTGTGCCAAACACACCTGATTTCAGCAAATACTTAATTTTACTAGATTCATCGAGAAACAGCAGATCAAAGGGTTTGGCCATCTCGTTAGAATGCAGCAAGATCAGATACCATCACAAGCACTACATCTCAGAAGATCAGCTACAAGAGCAAGAGGATGGTCGCAGAAAATATGGATTGACAACATTATAGAGACTCTACGCCTTTACGGCATGACAATAGCCAGTGGCAGCCAGCATGCACTGGATCGCAAATTATTCTTCCCCACAACGCTTAACGGCAGAAGTGGTTTAATGATAATAATGAGGACTTAATTAAAGTGACTGTTACAAAATCCTTGCTATGGAGCAGTGTGTCTGTACTACCATCCCCCTCCCTAATGGAGCCCAGAATCCTAACAAGACATTACATAGTTAGTTGCGTATCCTTTAACACTGTTGAAACAAATGCAAGGTGCAAGGCCCGCAGCTGGGATCGAATCTGTCACCCCGGCATTACAAAGCTCGTTCGCAGCGCCTAAGCCACAGACGCCGATCCATTACATACACAACTGCGATCAAATTCAGGGGTTATTTGTAACTCATAAGAAGAGTGAGCTTTCTAAGTAAGTCATGAAAGAGGAACAGGGATGAATGGGCAAATGCAGGTTGGTGAAAATAGTTGTTGTGGCCATTCACCTTATTTCTGATCCATAAATCACTGCTTATCAGTGACAGAGTCCGTAAGTCTCTCAAGAACCACCTTGTCCATCTCATGGGCACTAATTCACCCAGAGGACTTAACATCCAACACAGGTTTGTCTAAAATCTTTGAGTTACGCACTTGTTGTTTCCGGCTTTTTTCTGGCCAGTATTTATTTATGGTGGTCACACGTGTCAGATGTTTCTGCTGGCCTGACAGAAATGTGATTCCTATCAAAGATACATCAGTTAAGTGATTTTATGTATTCTTGTTCTTACTTGTGGTATTGTAGATTTTTTTAAACATACTGATGAAAGGCTCTCTAGCTGCAGTGTTTACTTGTTGTTTGTGTTTGTGACATTGTAAAGCTGATTTGTGATACCTTTCCTTTGATTTGATATCTTTTCATGACATCAGAACATTTGTCTTCCACTTCTTCTGCATTAATCCAAGGATGTAAATGTGTTGTACCCGTTTACCTTGATATTTGCACCTCTTACTGTAAAATAGGTGGGACAAATTTTATAGTCTAAGTTACTTCTGCTAAATCAGTTTCAATTAAAAAAAAAAAAGCACAGGACGTTACAGTAATTAGCCTTCATCAGCAGAATGATAACAAGAAAAAAGCACAGCACAGTAATGAATCGAATCTGAGATTACTGCATTATTGTATTCATATAGATTGCTGCAAATTTAATAAAGGGGACTAGCCCTAATTTCTTTTGATCTACATATTTCCTAGTGCTGGGAAAAAAGTCTTGCCTTTTGTATTATAATTTTATACCTCTATATGCTTTTCAGAAACAAACTATTGGACGTAAATTTGCCTAGAAAAACCACAATTGGGAAAAATCCTGGGGTTGGTTCTGCAGGGTCCTGTAAAGGATACGCAACTAGCTAACCTCTATATGTGATACCATTGACTTCATATCTAACCATTCATTTTCCCTATAGACATGTGCCTCAGATGACTTCAGGATAGAGGACCCGGCTAAGCAGATCCTCACTTTATCTCAACACATGATTGAGATGTTGCGTCCTCTCAATGCAGCAGACACACCTTCCCTCGAACTCTCTGAGTGAGTCGTTGTCTGTGTTTGTTGTACTGAAATGTCACTTTGTTAGACTAAAATGTTGATTTTTTTTCTTTTACTGTGTTTGTTGTACTGAAATGTCACTTTGTTAGACTAAAATGTTGATTTTTTTCTTCTAAAAGTTCATGCCGTGTGGCCTTGGTAGTCATGTCTACCCTCAACCTTCTGTATTTGTTATACTGGAGTGCAATTTTATAATGCAAGAATGGTGCTTTATTACACTAGAATGGATTTATTACACTAGAATGGATTTATTACACTAGAATGGATTTATTACACTAGAATGGATTTTTTACACTAGAATGGATTTTTTACACTAGAATGGATATTTTATACTAGAATGGATTTATTACACTAGAATGGATTTATTACACTAGAATGGATTTATTACACTAGAATGGATTTATTACACTAGAATGGATTTATTACACTAGAATGGATTTATTACACTAGAATGGATTTATTACACTAGAATGGATTTATTACACTAGAATGGTGCTTTATTACACTAGAATGGATTTATTACACTAGAATGGATTTATTACACTAGAATGGATGTATTACACTAGAATGGATTTATTACACTAGAATGGATTTATTACACTAGAATAAATTTATTACACTAGAATGGATTTATTACACCAGAATGGATTTATTACACCTGAATGGATTTATTACACTAGAATGGATTTATTACACTAGAATGGATTTATTACACTAGAATGGATTTATTACACTAGAATGGATGTATTACACTAGAATGGATTTATTACACTAGAATGAATGTATTACACTAGAATGGATTTATTACACTAGAATGTATTTATTACACTAGAATGGATTTATTACACTAGAATGGATTTATTACACTAGAATAAATTTATTACACTAGAATGGATTTATTACACCAAAATGGATTTATTACACTAGAATGGATTTATTACACTAGAATGGATGTATTACACTAGAATGGATTTATTACACTAGAATGAATGTATTACACTAGAATGGATTTATTACACTAGAATGTATTTATTACACTAGAATGGATTTATTACACTAGAATGGATTTATTACACCTAAATGGATTTATTACACCTGAATGGATTTATTACACTAGAATGGATTTATTACACTAGAATGGATTTATTACACTAGAATGGATTTATTACACTAGAATGGATTTGTTACACTAGAATGGATTTGTTACACTAGAATGGATTTATTACACTTGAATGGATTTATTACACTAGAATGGATTTATTACACTAGAATGGATTTATTACACTAGAATGGATTTGTTACACTAGAATGGATTTGTTACACTAGAATGGATTTATTACACTTGAATGGATTTATTACACTAGAATGGATTTATTACACTAGAATGGATTTATTACACTAGAATGGATTTATTACACTAGAATCTTACTTTATTCCACCAGGATGTTGCCACTGTACTAGAATGTTGCTATGTTTCACTAGAATATAACAATCTTACACTAGAATATATTGCCTTGTTACACTGGAACTTTATATTGTCACACTCAGATGTCGTATGGCACTATAATGTGGTTTTTATGAACTGTAATGTGGTATTGTTATACTAGAATGTTAATTTGATTAACCAGAATGCACTAGAATATTTTCTATTGCACTAGAATGGGTAGAGAGGAGGAACTTCTTATCTGGCTTTAAGTGAACAAGGAAACAAATTGAGATGTACCATGGGCTGTATTCCCTATGCCCCTATGTAGCATAATATAACATATTTGTTTGCAAAGATAGAGAGGTGCTTACAACGTACATACGAGGTGGCTTCAAATGAAAACCTTAAAAAGTGTGATATAAATTACAATAGCCATGCCATTTTTTTGGGGTAACCTGCAAGTATTGTTTTTCAAAATATCAAGAGTGTTAAGCATGTGTCATCACATGTCATTTCAAAACGACATGTCTTCTCTGACAGACTGTTGATACCTGGGTCTAGAACACCAAAACAGAAGTCGCACCGTTTTGAAACTTTCTACTTAACTCATACACTTCCTTTACTGACAGGCATACATCAACATTAAAAAAAAAGTTAGTTGCGTATCTTTTACGTTGCAGAACCAGCCCTAGCATTTTTTGGCTTTTGTGGGTTTTTCTAGGCAAATTTACGTCCAGTAGTTTGCCATCGCTTTCTTGATACCACTGTTGAAACCAGCACAAGGCCCAACCAAGCAGCCTAGCATTATAAAACCCGCTCGCAGCATCTAAGCCACAAATGCTGACATACATCACCTTGCTGGACATCTATTCCTCGATGCATTTCTTTCAATTTCATCACTTCACTGGGAAAAAAAAAAGAAACGGATAAAAGAACACTGTTCCTCTTGGGTGCATGTCAAAAGTGGTGTCAGAGGCCTACTTTACTAATTCATTTTCTATGGCTCGCTAGGTAGGCCAGCTAACAGACTTCACTACCCTACAACACACTTAAGACATGCACCTGCTGAGTACAAACATAATCTTTAATGTACAACGAACTATACAACTTATTACACTTCAACCGAGTTGGCATTCCTTATCCTGAACGCCGTCGTTGAGCGGCTTTTACATTCACAGGTCAACCCAAGCCGTTCCCATGGATCCCCAAAGACACGATTCCAAACTAACAGTTTATCAGTGCTGACTAAGCTGCGTCTATTGCCACCCGTGACTCAGTGACACACGTAAGGTGTATGGCCTAAGTGTGACTGGGTAGTGTTACCGCCATTCACAATGCGTGTCACACATTCACTAGCTGCTTAACAAATACTGCGTGAAACGTCTACTATACAAGGAACATTAACTCTACGCTATCTCGTCAAAACATTAAATGGAAACACAGCCTATCTCAAAAATACTAACCACAAACACTTTTCAGTCTAGCCATCACTAAACTAAGATACGTTTACCTAGTCGAAGCGCTATGTCTCGTCCAGTCCAGTCTCTACTGCACAACTTCCCTCCAGCGAGCTCTGTCCAAGCCTTTTGTTCCCCTCACGCGTTCATCTCTCAACACGCGGTAATACGTGTTAACCGTGGGACCTGGGCTTAGCGAGTTAACTCAACCCAGTTTATTCCATGGTCAAGCTGCCCGGTCTCAAACTGAGTTTTACTGAGGGTCAGCTCGTTCATCGTGATGATTCACTATCATCAACTCCGTTCATCCCGTAGCCAAATTGACCTCTGACAAGTGGGGTGACCATCTTTAAACTCATTATGATGTCACTGTGATCGTCTGTCCCATGATAGCACATGCTTAACACTCTTGACATCCTTAACAACAGTTTTGATAGGTTACAAGACAGTGGGATGGTTATTATAATTTCTGCTATGCTTCTAAGGTTTTAATTTGAAGCCACCTTCTGGTTAGTTAAAGAGAGAAACTCTAAGGCAAAAAGTGAGGTGAGAGGCCAGAAGTATTGAACTGGATTCCATCCATGATATTGAAATGGTTGTGCAGGATATAGTGGAGTGGAAGATTGGACTACAAGCACTATGTTATGTAAAAATGGCACAGCAGGATGTTAGTTGGGTAACCTTTACAGAGCATTGCAGAACCAACCCGACATTTGTTGGTCTTCATGATTTGTCTAGGCAGTTTTACCTTCAGTAGTTTGCCATTGTTTCCTGAAAAGTCAGTCTAGGATACCACTGTCAAAGTCAATACTAGGCAGTCTGCTGCTGCTGGGTTCAAACTTAACATTACGAAGCACGTTTGCAACGTCTACAACAGGATGATAATAAGGAAATTGGAAATTTTAGAATGTTATAAAATAATATTTAGCAAGTAATATTAATTACATTTGTTCATTTACACATTTTGTTTTCTTCTGACAGTGAATTGGATAAGGTATTCTCAAATGCTTCTTGTCTGAATGGCTCGTTTTTGTTACCGTAAGTATTCACATTTGATAGGGTAGCACACGTTTCATTTATTTTCGTATCAAAGTAAGGGCTCCATTTTAACCATTTCAGAAAAGTTAAGTCCACTGTCTAGCTGTTATTCTGTAGCTGCACCTCTCTCTTTCCCTCCATCTCTTATCTTATTTTCTAGGTATTATTCCACACCAGGTTTACTGGTATTTAATCTGTTTTAGTTTGGCAACAGATACATATGTATGCACCTCTTTCTCTGTCTGTCTCTGTCTCTGTCTCTCTCTCTCTCTCTCTCTCTCTCTCTCTCTCTCTCTCTCACTCACTCACTCACTCACTCACTCACTCTCTTTCTCTCTCTCTCTCTCGCTCTCTCTCTCTCTCTCACTCTCTCTTTCTCTCTCTCTCTCACTCTCTCTTGCTCTTTCTCTCACTCTCTCTCACTCTCCTCCCCCCTCCCCCCCCCCCCCCCCCCCTCAGTCTTACTGCCTTCCCCCTCCAGTTTCTCTCTCCCTCATCAGCTTATTTTATGTGTGTCATGTGACACAAGTTTTACTGATACTTAATCTATTTTGATTTGGCAGGAATGATGAACACTATGGAAGCAACAGTAGGATACATGGCATAGACATGGCTGCAGTGAGAACTTTTTTCCAAGACTTAGCTACAGTGTCCAATATTGTTGCACTACAGTATGTAAGTATTCATTTGTTGTTCTTGTATGGTCTGACTGTCTTCCAACTCATTTTTGGACATGGAAACTTTTTTTGTGTGTCTCCTTGTTGTCCTCTGTCTCTTTTCCTTAGATCAAAGTCTGAAACTTAAAGTCTAATTTACTACACCCTTATATCAAATACTGATATTAAAAGATGTTAATCTCCACATCTTTAGATGACAAGTTGACTTCTTTAAATTATGTCTTTCTACTACCTTTAATACAAACCTGATTGAAAAATGTTTCTCTTCACACCTTTAGATGACAAGATGACTTTAAATAATCCCTTCCTCTACTTCCTTAAATCAAAAACTGACATTGAAATTTGTTTCTTTCTATATCCTTCAATTAAAATTAGACACTGAAAGATGATTCTCTGAACACCCCATTTTAGATGCTGACATTGGCGATGTGTTCCCTCTACATCCTCTAGATCAAATACTTATACTGAAAGATGTTTCTCTGTGCTTCCTTAAATTGAAAGCTGACATTGAAAGATGCTTATCTATTCATAGTTATATCAGAGCTGACATTGAAAGATGTTTCTCTCTTCATTCTTAGATCATATCATATGCTGACATTGAAAGATGTTTCGGTCTATATTCTTTAATTAAATTGTAACATTGAAAGAGTTTTGCTCTCTACATCCTTAGATCAAACTGTAACATGAAAAATGTTTCATATTTATATCCTTAGATCAGATTGTAACATTGAAAGTTGTTTCTTATCTGTTTCCTTAGATCAGGCTGTAACATTGAAAATTGTGACTTATCTACATCCTTAAATCAACTTGTAACACTGAAAGATGTTTCTTGTTTATATCCATAAATGGGCACTGATATTCTTGTTCTTCTTCTTCTTGTTTCTCTTTGTTCACCAGCTGTAAGCTTCGGCAGAAATTCCTGGTTGTTTGTCCTGAGTTTTGCGTGTACATACATTTTACTAGCTTGTTTATGTGCAGTTAGTTGTTTCTTGCCGCTCGGGAAGATGCATTCCAACTTTGAAGGAAGCTCCCCTAGCTAGTCAACTCTTACACTGGGTTTTTGGGATAGGCAGTGGGCCTTTTGTTGCATACACCACAGTTGGACCCTGTAACCCATATGGGAAGGCACTATTAAAAAATGCTCCTTCAAGTAACCATTAATCAAGAGCTGACACTGAAAAGTGATTTTCTTCACATATTTAGATCAGTGTGTTTTGTCTACATACTTAGATCAGCACTGACATTCAAAGAATGTTTACGTCTTTAGATCAGATATTTACATTGAAAGTTTCTCTCCATATTCTTAGATCGTATGCTGACACTGAAAGATATTTATGTCTATATCAGATGTGTATGTCTACATCCTTAGGTCAAATACATAAAATTAAGGTTCCTTCCCTCTAAATCCTTATAACAGCACTGGAATTAAAAGATGTACCTCCTTTCATCTGTGGATCATCACTGATATCAAAAGATGTATCTCCCTACATCCTTAGATTCATCACTCACATTGAAAGATATTTCTCCCTACATCCTTAGATCAGTATTGACATTGAAAGATGTATCTCCCTACATCCTTAGATCTGCACTCACATTAAAATATGTCTCACTCCCTACATCCTTAAATCAGCACTCACATTAAAACATGTCTCACTCCCTACATCCTTACATCTGCACTCACATTAAAATAAGTCTCACTCCCTACATCCTTACATCTGCACTCACATTAAAATATGTCTCACTCCCTACATCCTTAGATCTGCACTCACATTAAAATATGTCTCACTCCCTACATCCTTAGATCAGCACTCACATTAAAATATGTCTCACTCCCTACATCCTTACATCTGCACTCACATTAAAATATGTCTCACTCCCTACATCCTTAGATCTGCACTCACATTAAAATATGTCTCACTCCCTACATCCTTACATCTGAACTCACATTAAAATATGTCTCACTCCCTACATCCTTAAATCTGCACTCACATTAAAATATGTCTCACTCCCTACATCCTTAAATCTGCACTCACATTAAAATATGTCTCACTCCCTACATCCTTACATCTGCACTCACATTAAAATATGTCTCACTTCCTACATCCTTACATCAGCACTCACATTAAAATATGTCTCACTCCCTACATCCTTAAATCAGCACTCACATTAAAATATGTCTCACTCCCTACATCCTTAGATCTGCACTCACATTAAAATATGTCTCACTCCCTACATCCTTAAATCTGCACTCACATTAAAATATGTCTCACTCCCTACATCCTTAGATCAGCACTCACATTAAAATATGTCTCACTCCCTACATCCTTAGATCTGCACTCACATTAAAATATGTCTCACTCCCTACATCCTTAAATCTGCACTCACATTAAAATATGTCTCACTCCCTACATCCTTAGATCTGCACTAACATTAAAATATGTCTCACTCCCTACATCCTTAGATCAGCACTCACATTAAAATATGTCTCACTCCCTACATCCTTACATCTGCACTCACATTAAAATATGTCTCACTCCCTACATCCTTAAATCAGCACTCACATTAAAATATGTCTCATTCCCTATATCCTTAGATCTGCACTCACATTAAAATATGTCTCACTCCCTACATCCTTAAATCAGCACTCACATTAAAATATGTCTCACTCCCTACATCCTTAAATCTGCACTCACATTAAAATATGTCTCACTCCCTACATCCTTAGATCTGCACTCACATTAAAATATGTCTCACTCCCTACATCCTTACATCTGCACTCACATTAAAATATGTCTCACTCCCTACATCCTTACATCTGCTCTCACATTAAAATATGTCTCACTCCCTACATCCTTACATCTGCACTCACATTAAAATATGTCTCACTCCCTACATCCTTACATCTGCACTCACATTAAAATATGTCTCACTCCCTACAACCTTAAATCAGCACTCACATTAAAATATGTCTCACTCCTTATATCCTTAAATCTGCACTCACATTAAAATATGTCTCACTCCCTACATCCTTACATCTGCACTCACATTAAAGTATGTCTCACTCCCTACATCCTTACATCTGCACTCAGATTAAAGTATGTCTCACTCCCTACATCCTTACATCTGCACTCACATTAAAGTATGTCTCACTCCCTACATCCTTACATCTGCACTCACATTAAAATATGTCTCACTCCCTACATCCTTAGATCTGCACTCACATTAAAGTATGTCTCACTCCCTACATCCTTAAATCAGCACTCACATTAAAATATGTCTCATTCCCTACATCCTTAGATCTGCACTCACATTAAAATATGTCTCACTCCCTACATCCTTAGATCTGCACTCACATTAAAATATGTCTCACTCCCTACATCCTTAAATCAGCACTCACATTAAAATATGTCTCACTCCCTACATCCTTAGATCTGCACTCACATTAAAGTATGTCTCACTCCCTACATCCTTAAATCAGCACTCACATTAAAATATGTCTCACTCCCTACATCCTTAGATCTGCACTCACATTAAAGTATGTCTCACTCCCTACATCCTTAAATCAGCACTCACATTAAAATAAGTCTCACTCCCTACATCCTTAGATCTGCACTCACATTAAAATATGTCTCACTCCCTACATCCTTAGATCAGCACTCACATTAAAATATGTCTCACTCCCTACATCCTTAAATCAGCACTCACATTAAAATATGTCTCACTCCCTATATCCTTAGATCAGCACTCACATTAAAATATGTCTCACTCCCTACATCCTTAGATCAGCACTCACGTTAAAATATGTCTCACTCCCTACATCCTTAAATCAGCACTCACATTAAAATATGTCTCACTCCCTACATCCTTAAATCAGCACTCACATTAAAATATGTCTCACTCCCTATATCCCTAAATCTGCACTCACATTAAAATATGTCTCACTCCCTATATCCTTAAATCTGCACTCACATTAAAATATGTCTCACTCCCTACATCCTTAAATCTGCACTCACATTAAAATATGTCTCACTCCCTATATCCTTAAATCAGCACTCACATTAAAATATGTCTCACTCCCTACATCCTTAAATCAGCACTCACATTAAAATATGTCTCACTCCCTATATCCTTAAATCAGCACTCACATTAAAGAAAATATTGCCCTATATCCTTTGATCAGTATTATAAAAAATGTATCTCTGAACATCCTTAGAACAGCATTATTTAAAAAAAATATATATATGTCCTTGTATCCTTAGATCATCACTGACATTAAAAGATATATCTTCCTGCATCCTTAGATCAGCACTGTTTAAAAAAATATCTTCCTGTATCCTTAGATCAGAACTGTTACAAAAAAATATTCCTGTATCCTTAAATCAGCACTGTTAAACAAATATCTTCCTTTATCCTTAGATCAGCACTGTTTAAAAAAAAAAAATCTTCCTGTATCCTTAGATCAGCACTGTTAAAAAAAATATATTCCTGTATCCTTAGATCAGCACTGTTAAAAAAAATATATTCCTGTATCCTTAGATCAGCACTGTTTAAAAAAAATATATATCTTCCTGTATCCTTAGATCAGCACTGACATTGAGCAGCACTTGATCCCGATGCTGCCAGTCTCCCCTCCAGATGTTGAAGCCCTGCGTTTGTACCTCATGTTGCCAGAGTGTCACTTGTTTGATCAGCCCAAGCTGTACAATTCTATCATTTGCCCATTTGCCAAGAACTTCCTGTCTCTGGACAAAGTGGCCCAGAAAGTGTTCGGTAAAATGTTTATCTGTTTAACTGCCGTAATCTGCCAGTATAAGAATTTGAAGGAAACAAAAATTATAAAAAAATATCATCATCATCAATTGCTTTGCAGACTGGCATGGGCGATCGTGCCTCTCCACAATCTGCGATCCGCCACTGAATGTATCAGTTTGTGTGTTGCACCCCCAAACCACGACAAAAGACTCTCTTTTCGCACTTTCTTTCTCTGTCTTTCTTTCTTCAAATCTTGCCAGTGGTCACAACATGTTCCGTTTTCCCTCTTTTCATAACATGATCAAGGAAGGATGACTGTCTCTTTCTAGTTTTTGTGATGTCTTCGAGCAGTCAAAACAAAAGTATACATGTATTTATTGCCTAATTTTTGCTTTTAGAGTTTCTTAGGTTCGGAAAAGGTTGACAATGAAAAGAAAGTTACTAAAGCAAGTGAAGAAAGAAACAAGTGAAATAATTTGACCTTATTAACCCTGTTGCCCCAGGAAGACTAAATGTAGTCATTTTGGCTGTGACTCAGTACATCAATGCTGATATAGTGGCCTCTCTGCAGTGATCTGATCTCGAAAAAACATAGTTAAATTGCATTGGTTCTGTGTGCACCTGCACAGTGTTTGTTAGCCAGGATATGAGTGTAGTAACTAAAAATAGCTTTAGGGGGTTTCTTTTTGGCCCCACCACTAGAACTGCAGTTCATCGTTGATGGAAGCAGTGATTACAACAAATCAGCAGCTGCATGTACCAGTTCTGGAGCAACACTCCGCTCACCATTTTCTAAATCAGCATTTCGCAAGTGAAACTATCTTTAAAAACATTTCATTAACTCCCCGTGTGGATTCTGGGGCCCCATTGTGGGGAAAAACGAGGTAGACCCACTGCCTTCCCAACAAGCATCTCGTAAGAGTCAACTAATGGGAGATTCCTTCAAAGTCGGAGTACATCTCCTTGAGAGGCAAGGAACCAACAGTCTGCATACAAATGAGTCATATATGTAAAACAGATGTGCATGCAACACTCAAGTTCTGGAACATGGCTGTAGTCAAGAAGTGGACGAACAACCAGAACTCTCCACCAGAGTTTACAGCTGGTGAACGTGAAGAAGAAGAAGAAGATTTCAGCGATGATTAAACATGGCGAGAGATAAGTTATTCTCATCCCTGTTGTTTTGAACGTATCATGACCTGTAGCTTTCTCACATTTTACAGATAATTGGTGGCCATCTAACCAGCCATCCTTCTTCAACAGATTAGTTGTGGTAAGTGCCAGCTGTTCATTCATATTTTTGTTTTGTCAAATCCATTGTTTTGTCTGATCAGTTATTAGATCCAGCGTCTTATCAAATATGTCTTATCAGATCTATTGTTGTGTCTCATTGGTTATCTCATCAGATCCAGTGTGTTGTCAGATCACTTGTCATATTCATAATTTTTCAGATACACTTTATTGTCAGATCAGTATCCTGTCAGATTCATTCTAATGTCAAGTGCATTTATTTTGTGTAAGATCTGTTGTCTGGATCCAGGCTCTGAAACCTGTGGCACGACTAAAATAAATGAAGGGTTATGTTAAATATCCTTTAGTCTTACGACAAATCTTGGGACCAACCACAGATGCAAAAAGCCTGGAATAGAGAGATGATACCTTATGTTACAGTTTTTTTTAGTGTTATGACGAATCTTTGGACCAGTGAAAGGTGCGAATATCCAGGAATGGAGAGGTTAAGCATTATGTTACAAATGTTTTAGTCTTACGGTGAATCTTTGGACCAAATAAAAGATGCGAGAAGCCTGGAATGGAGGTGAAGCATTATGTTACCAATCTTTTAGTCTCACAACACAATGTACACAGTTTTTACCTATCTGTCATCTGACATTCTCTCAGTATGTTCTAGCCATTTACATCTATTTGTCCTTATAATGCCTGTGATCAGTGGTTACTTAAACAGTTTATGTATTTCATTGTTGCTTCTCTCTCTCCATTTTCCACTGTTTGCATCTTTGATGGGTTCAAAGATCTGACATAAGACTCTTACTTCATGTCTACCTTTATATATTTTTCAGATATACAAGCAGTGTATTGAGTATCTGCTGCAGTTGCCAGATACAACGAATCCCTTAGAGGTAAATAGGCTGGATCTAGATTGTGTGTTGTATATGTAAATATTTATGTATGGGTATTATATATGAGGGAGAATTCCCCTGAACTCGGAGTACATCTGCCCGAGAGGCAGGGAACAAGGTCAGGCCAGCACACAAATAAGCCAGTCAAAGATGTACATGCAAAACTCGGGCCTGGTACAAAGACGACATCCATATGGACGAACAACCATGACTTTCCACAGAATTCACAACCGCTGAATCCAAAAAAGAAGAAGATATATGAGTGTGTATATATGAGAGTGTGTGTTTTTGCATGTATTAGTGTGTCAGGTGAGTATGCATATATGATAGTTTGTGCATGAGTATGTATGAGTATATGCATGAATGCATGAGAGAGTGTGTGTGTATGTGCATGCATGTGTGTGTGTGTAAGAGAGAGAGAGATGGAGAGTGAGAATGTTTGTATATATGTGTGTGTGTTGTGTAGTAGTAGTAGCAGTAGCAGCAACTGCTGCTGCTCCTCCTCCTCCAACTTTACTGCAAACATATTACCCCATAAAAGCTTCATTCTTGTGCCAGTGAAAATCACACAGGAAACCTTTCACCTGTTCCCTGGGAAAACTACCAAACAAACAGTTAGTCCCAACAATATCCAGAAACATGCACATGCAGTAAATGCATGAGGAAAAGATGTGAAACAAACCACACACAAAGTCATTAATGTAACTTTTAGAAGAACTGTTTGCTTGATCCTTATCTGTGCCACCTTTCAAATAAACATACTACCAGTGTTAGAAGATAAGCAGAGACATTGGTAAACAAAAAACAAAAAACAAGTTAACTAATTTCTTCCACGCATGACATACTGAGTGATGCCACAGCATATTTTAATCTCTCAGTGTGTCTTGTCTTTTTGTTTTCAGGTAAATAAACGGCATGCAGGTCTCTTCACATCCATGGAAATGCTGCAGAAATTGAATCAGGTATTGTTTACAGGCTGTTTTTCCCCCCGATTTTCTTCTTCTTTTGTGTTCATCCTCAAAATTACTGTTGGCATGTTGTGTTGTCTTGTTTGTTCCTTTTAGCTCAGCACATCCAATTTCAGCAAACCATTAATTAACTGCTTATTACAGTGTGCTTCTTAAGGGTCAGTGGACTATTCCCCCCCCCCCTTCCAAATGGGGCCCCAGAACGTACACAGGGAATTCTGCAATGTCTAATGTTTACTTGATTTGTACTCTGTCACTGGGAATAACTTATATTAGCCGCAGTCCGATACTTCACCTCTTTGTTTCCAGACATTGTTTACTTCTCTCCTAGTGCTTCGCATTAGTCATTCTATTGTACCAGTGCTGTACTTACTGTACCGAGAAGCATGCCAAAGGACATGACTCCGTATCCCTGTCTAGACTGATGGACATGGGGGTGCAGCCTGGAGCTGCAAGAAACGAATATTTCACTAAGAGGACAAGACGTTTCATTAACCAACACAGAACGACCTTCCGATCCGCATGCAAGTGTCTAGCTGCTAGAAGAAGAAACTTTGGTGGCTATCTTATCTAATAGAAATCTTTAGTTGCAAAATCCAACAAATGATGAATAATTTGAACCAAAATAACAAAATAGATTGCACAGTTAATTGCTGAGTCCTCCATTTAGACCTTAAGTTTCTTAACCTACACTACATTTCTCTATCTTCTACACTACAAAAGCTCTGATTCATGTGCTGTTGCTGACATTTTCAGGTGAATGAAGCAAACAACCAGATCATTCCCTACCACAAGTTTTACGTGCCAGAACTGAAAGATAAAGTGAATATACGCGCAGACTACATTAGCTGGGTACAACGAACACATAATAGAAGTCAAGTTGGCAGGGTGGCTGTGCAGGTAAACATTTACATTCAGTTTTTAGCAATTTTAATTTATCTTTTGCTTCAGAACATGGTGGGAGCCACAGGGGTCTAACGGCTAGATGCTCGGCTGCGTATCAAAAGGTTGTGGGTTCGGTAACCGGTGAGGGCCGTTTTTTTTTTCCTGTTTTTTTCCGACGTGCTGTTTCATCTATAAAATATAGCTAGCCCTATATACCCTGTATGCCTGAAAGGCATGGAAGAGAGTTCTTTATTTGTTTTTTTTTCCTTCTTAACATGGTGTTAACTGCATTTCTTTTGTTCTCATTTGAGTTTCGGAGCACCACTGTAGAGAAAAAAGAATAGACCCCCCCCCAATCCTGTCCTCTCTGTAACACAAATCCTGAGTATTGTAGAGACTATGAGTTGTTTATGCAGCACAATCCCACTCTCAGCCTGCCTTGTTTACTCCGAAGGGAAGCTAACACCTATATGCTTGGAACAAAGCATGCTGCAAAAGCTGCTGCATCAGAAAAGTAGTGCTCTGTATGTCCACCTGAGTAGTGCTCTGTATGTCCACCTGTCACTCCTAAACTAGCTGCTAACCAGGCTAAGTGCTTTACCATAACATTATTTTTTTCGGGTTGTATTTCCTGTTCCTGTGATAATGCTAGTATCCTCCCCTGATGAGCTTTGCCCAAAATCGATGGTACAAAATAAAGCATCAGGCTTGGTATTGGACACCCAACATTAATGGAGAACAGAAAGTATCAACTACTGTTAGAAGGTAGCTGAGTCTGTCTGACCAAAACCTGACATTGCGTATATTTAGATGAAACACAGGAATACTTCTGACCGATGAAGATATTAAAAAAATGTTCGCGGGGGGGGGGGGGGGGGGGGGGGGGTCCCGGTGTCATCACTCAGGAGGATGATAGACTGGCAAAAATATTAGTTTGTTAAATATGTGTGCGTGCGTGGGCATGTGTGTATGCATGTGAAAGAAACGAGGTGGTTTGACAGAAGATTTTTTTCAGCCTCCCTTGCTGCACCAATGACAGTATGAAGCTGTTTGAGTCACTGGGTGTCAGTCCTTCAGACCCAGGCCACAGTTCTGGAGGATCAACAATTGTTTTTTTAAACAAACACAAGAAAGAACAATTAAAAAACTGTTGTAATCAATTTTGTTATATTCTCCTAGGGTCTGTACTTCTGTAACTACCCTTTCCTGTTTGATGGAGCGGCCAAAAGTGCTCTGTTGCAGACTGATGCGGCTTTACAAATGCAGGTAGGGTTGATGAGAAACTGAAACTATTAAGTATTGCTACGTCAAGTCTTGCACTGGTTTCAACAGTGGTACTGAGAGCTGACCATTCAGAAAGCAGTGGCAAATTGCTGAACATAAAATATGCCTAGAAATACCACATACCATGGCTTACGGGAAAATCCTACGCCAGTTTGGTTTAAAAAAAAGCCCAAATTTACCTCAAAGGCCCACCCCCCCCCCCCCCCCCCCCCACCCCCACCCCACCTCCCTTAATGCTTTTTGTTAGTTAATGTATTTATACTTCCTACATTTTTGTACCGGATAGAACTTAGCCAGTAGCATTAACTATGCATCTCATAAATAGGTTACTATAGACAAGTCATAAAATTGACATTTGCAGAGAATTGAACTCAACAAGATCTGTCTGATTTTTACAGGGCAAAAGGGTTAATATGGCAAAATTATTTCAGTTTACGAGAAATGATACTTTCTTTGAGCCATATAAACAATGTATCTCTCTGTTTCTCTCTGTGAATGCCAATCAGTGCAGGTCTGTTTGTTTATTTTATGTAAACATTAATGAGCCAAACCTAATCCAGAATCCAGACATGTATTTGAACATTTTTTAAAATTTATTCTTCCAGAATGCTATTGAAAATGCACAGCATATCAACCTACTGGGTCTTCTGATGCCTGTGCAAACATTTGACCCAGTTAATCCTTGCCTGGTCTTGACTGTCACACGGCAAAACTTGGTCCAGGACACTTTGCGGCAACTGCATGGGAAACACAGCGCAGAACTGAAAAAACCTTTGAAGGTTCCATTTTCTTTTTTCTTCTTCTGCACTGATCCTCAACTATTTCAGTCCCAGATGGTTTCAAAGTAGAAACCCAGTCTGGCACAATAATCACAGTAAAAAGGGGCATCAGTGCATGACTTTTAAAGATACATCACATACTGTGCTGCATTAAACATTTTTGCCAGATTTCTTTTACATACCCAGACCAAACATGAAATAAATAATAACACACCATGTGTTGCATTGAGCATTTGACAAGGTACCCTGGAACAAGCTCTGGGACTGCTTGGCAGGGAAAAACATCCCAGCACCCCTGATCAGTGCAATACAGAGTTTCTACAAAAAGTGCAGAAATTATGTAAGAACAGCAGACCAAAAGTCAGAAGAATTTAAGACCACCAGCGGTGTTAGACAAGGTGATATTCTCTCACCTTACCTCTTCATTCTTATGATGGATGATGTCATCAAGACCTGTAAGGAGAAGACAAAGAAGTACTCTGTAGGGTACTGGAAGATGAGACCAATCTGTATATCAGAGCTGGCTTTTGCAGACGATGTGGCCCTGATAGCTAAATCAGAGGCATACCTTCAGTCCAACTTACTTGTCTGGAAGAAAGAGCTTGAAAAGAAAGGGATGACCATCAGTGTCTCCAAAACTAAAACCATGGTGATCTCAAGAGAGGAGAAGAAACACCAGATCATGATGGGTCAGTATGCGTTGGAGCAGGTTAACCAGTTCAAATAACTTGGAGTTGTATTAGACCAAAATGGAGGCATTAAGACTGAGCTGGCTACACGAAAAGCAGCTGCTGGGAGACTCTTCCAGGCCATAAACCGAGGGTTTCTTAGCAAAAGAGAAATTGGCAAGAGGACGAAAATGGTTGTTTACCGCTCTACCTATGTACCAGTCCTGACCTATGGGTGTGAGTCATGGGCAATGACAACAGCTCACAGAAGCCAGCTGCAGGCCTCGGAAATGAGATACCTGAGAAAGGTGGTCCAAGTGACAAGAAGGGACAAAGTCCGCAATCAGACAATACGTCAAGATCTTGATACCCAGCCCTTACTAACCCGAGTGGATCAGTCACAGTTACGATGGTTTGGACATGTGTGCAGAATGGGAGAAAATCGGCCACCATGGCAAGCATGGGAGGCTAAGAACCAGGGAACCAGACCTCCGGGACGACCCAGGGTGCGCTGGGAAGACAACATCCGACAGTCCCTGACTGACAGAGGACTGGAATGGAACAAAGCCAGAAAGAAAACTGCTGATAGAGACGTCTGGCGATCTCTCTGGCAAACCTCTACACCCCAAGGTAGAAGAGGAGCGACTAAGTAAGTAAGTAAGTAAGTGTTGCATTGATACCCAATGACATTAAGCTGAGCACTCATGGTACATTGTTTGTGGCAACAAAGAGTTAAAAAGGCATCAGCAACATAGCTTTTCAGCTGGATCTGGTCTTGTTGTGTTGGTACTAGTTTTAATTTCCTTTTCCCTTTGTGTGGCTTCGAGGCCCTTTTTTTTTAGGGCGGTTGGGGGGGGGGGGGGGGATAGACCCTTTGCCTCCCATTTCCCCCAACAAGCATGTCATAAAATTAGACTAATTAGAGATTTTTCTTTGAAGTCGGCGTGTATTTACCTGAGGTTTAAGGAACCAACAGTGTACACACAAAAGCACGGATTACTCAAGTTCTAGATGAGGACCCAGATTCAGATGTGAACGCATAACCAGACCTTTTCACTGGAGTTTACAGCCACTGAACGCTAAGAAAAAGAAGAAGAATTTACTTTGACCTCCACAGTTTCCTAGTGCTATGAAAACCCCTCTTACTGTTTGTGTTCATATTTTTATGTCCCTATCATTTACCTTATCTTTGTCTACAGTACTGCTAGTGCTATGAAAACCCCTCTTACTGTTTGTGTTCATATTTTTATATCTGTCATTTACCTTATCTTTGTCTACAGTACTGCTAGTGCTATGAAAACTCCTCTTACTGTTTGTGTTCATATTTTTATGTCCCTATCATTTACCTTATCTTTGTCTACAGTACTGCTAGTGCTATGAAAACCCCTCTTAATGTTTATGTTCATATTTTTATATCTGTCATTTACCTTATCTTTATCTTCATTACCTCATATATATAGGCACATACTCCACATCTGGGAGTTTTTAATGTCTTGATATTCTTTAATTTCAGGTTGTCTTTAAAGGGGAGGAGGCTGTTGATGAAGGCGGTGTTAGAAAGGTAGTTGGAATTCAGATCTTTCATCTATTTATTAGTATCTGTTTACTTATACACTGGTCAACAATTTTTCTAGTTGTTTGTATCAGAATTTAAAAAACATCATTTCTTATTGATTGATGTTGATTTAAACCAGTGGTTCTCAACTTTCCTAATTCCGCGACCCTTTAATACAGTTCCTCATGTTGCCGCGACCCTGTAATAAGTTCCTCATGTTGTGGCGACCTCCAACCATACAGTTATTTTCGTCGCTACTTTATAACTTCAATGAATATTTGTTTTGTGATGGTCTTTGGCGACCCATGTGAAAGGGTCCTTCGACCCAAAAAAGGGTTGTGACCCATAAGTTGTGAACCGCTGATTTAAACTATCATAATGAAAGTCACCAGTTAGCTGTTTTTTTGTAATGATCTATTTAGATTACAGTTCTCTGGGTTGATCTGTTAGTCTTTCTACTTTAGTCTTTCTACTTAAGCATTATAAAAATGTTGGTTACAAAGTCAGTTAATTGATATTTAAACATAAAATGATAGGAAAAATGTAAAACTTTGTTTGAAGTTCACATATCATGTTTTAAAGAGGCAAATCTTATCACATTCTGTTTGAGCTCTCTTTTCTTGCTTCTTAATGAGGTCTTGTCACAGTGCAACAGAAATCATCAAGCATGAAGGGCTTCAATTGCCTTGATACCTTGCCTCCATAGCAGCAATGTCCTGGTGTAATTATTCACCATGCTTGTCATGCCCTTTTCCACACTTTCAAGCATATTGGGCAAACTATATTTCATGGACCATTCGGCACTCTGTGGGTGATGTGGTCAGCATCGTACCAGCCACCTTTACCTCCCAGGACTCTGCCTCGTACCCATTTAATGCTGGGTCAGCCTGGGAGCCAAAGTCATTTTTGAAAAAGGTTCGGCTCCATCAGGACATGAACCCATGACCTTGGGATCCACAGGTGAGCCTCTAGTCACTACACCATGGTGGGTAGCTCCCGTGGAAGGTTGGGGTCTCAACCCCCAGCATTAAACTGTTTATATCGTCTGCTAGTATTGTCTGCAGAAACGCTTGAAATTGTCAACAGTCGCTATTATCGTCTGGTACTATCGTCTACAGTGTTGCGTCTCTTGAAATTGTCAAGTAATTTTAGTTTTGCCGCAATTTGTTCCTTGGCAGAAAGTCTGAATTTTACACATGACTGAGGTCCTGCTAGGCTATTTGCTTGGCCGCCATAATATCGGGTAGAAGTTCGGAGGAGAGCCCAAATCCTGAAGTCAGAAATACCGGGCCATAAGGCAGATAAAAAAAAACAGTACTACACAACCCCCACTATATATACGATTACACACTGGCTCACTGAGTCAACGGTGTACTCAGATTCATATGTAACTAAAAGGAAACTTTTAAAAGCAGACAAGTTTATCACACAAACTTTTCTGTTGGTGTAAATCAGAAAGCAAACACAAGAAGAAGTATTGTAGCTGCAGCATCAACAGTAGCACAAAAGTTATAAAGTCTTTAAAATGTCTTCCAAGTAGGAGTTCTGCAGTTCAACAGTAGCACAAAAGTTTTAAAGTCTTGAAAATGTCTTCCAAGTAGGAGTTCTGCAGCATCAACAGTAGCACAAAAGTTATAAAGTCTTGAAAATGTCTTCCAAGTAGGAGTTCTGCAGCATCAACAGTAGCACAAAAGTTATAATGTCTTGAAAATGTCTTCCAAGTAGGAGTTCTGCAGCATCAACAGTAGCACAAAAGGTATAAAGTCTTGAAAATGTCTTCCAAGTAGGAGTTCTGCAGCATCAACAGTAGCACAAAAGCTATAATGTCTTGAAAATGTCTTCCAAGTAGGAGTTCTTCATGTTGCTTCTGCGAGAGGTGATGGACCCAAAGTACGGCATGTTCCGGACTCATGATATATCCAATCTACAGTGGTTTAATCCTGCAGTAAGTTGGCAGTTGCTGTCATATTTTACCTTTTAATATGGTTTGGTATGTGTGGACGGGGCATAGTACGCACATGTGCACCTAGTCTTTTATATTGTGTGTATATTTGTACCCTATTAATACTGAAATTATTGTATTATCAATTTATTTAATATAATTCAGGGCTTCTGAAGAGACAGAAAAGAAAAGAATGTTGCTGAAGGAAATGAAATAAGAGACAAGCGAAATATTTTCACCATATTAAAAGACAAAACACTCTTAATAACCAGAGGAGGTAAAAATTGAAGGCGAACAGGCAAAAAGGGAGAGGATAACTTCAAGAGATAGATGAAAGCAGTCTCAGAGAGTATATATCTAGGGCATAAGACAGCATTGCAGCCAACCCTAATTGTGAATAAGGCACCTCATTGATTGATATAAAATAATGTATCTACTGTCATCAGATTTGTGATACAGTATTCTTCTTCTTCTTCTTCTTCTTCTTCTTTTTCTTCTTCGCGTTCACTGGCTGTAAACTCTAGCGGAAAGTTCTGGTTAGTTGTTTTATGCGGCACGTCTGTTTCACATATCAGGTTGTATGCAGACTCTTCGGATCGAAAGGTCGTGGGTTCGCTTCCTGGCAGAGCCAGACTTTTTTCAAAAATGACCTCGGCTCCCAGGTTGACCCATCCTTGAGTGGGTACAGTCCTGGGAAGTAAAGGTGGCCAGCGTGATGCTGACCACATCACCCATCTTGTGCCGATTGGTCTATAAAATATAGGTCCAGTCCTATATGCCCTATACGCCTAAAGGCATGGAAAAGGGTCTACTTTTTTTTGCTATGCAGACTCTTGGCTCCTGGCCTCTCCCAACTTAAAAGAAAGCACCACTAATTAGATACCTTTTACCACCTGCTTGTTAGGATGGTACTGGGTCTTTCCAACTCCCCTCCCCCCAAATGTGGGTTTAGCAGCTGGACATTTGCCTGCTGTCTTGAAGGCTTGGGTTTCAATCTGCATTGCCTTGGGTTTTCTACAACAACATCAAAAAAAAAAATTACTTTGGGTCCCAGGTCAACCCAGCCTTAAATAAATAAGTCCTGGGAATTAAAGGTAGCCGGCGGGATGTTGACCCATTCACCCATTGGTCTAAAAAAGTGTGAGTTGAGCATCCAATGCCCAGTATGCCAGTAGCGTGAAAAAAAGGTTCTTTACTTACATTTACTTTTTAGCGTTTCATATTACTAGATTTAAAACTGCCTGGTTCTCCCCGGGAAGTATAGGTCGTCCAAAATAGAAGACTAGGCATGACAGAATATTTAGCTTTAGAGTTATTTTTATTTCTGACGGCGCTTTGCTAATGCAGTTTCCACATATGGACAGAAGTCTATGGTTTCGCTGCCTGAGCCAAGTGCTTGCTGAAACAGTGTAAGCTGTTTTTTTTTTCATGTGCAGACATTTGTGCAGCAATTCAGTTGTGGTATTCAGTATGGCTGGCAGTAGCCGATTTACCTGTGGGCTGGCGAAATACCTTATGTAATAATTTTATATGTGTATAGCCAACTTATTACGACTGTCTACTTAAGTCAGTGAGATACTACATTTCTGGTGGTGGATGATGGCTTTGGCATCTCCAGCAACTGCCTTATGTATTTACTGCATGCTCATTTTTCTGGATTGTACCAGCACTAATTGTTCACCAGTTTTTCGGATGGGACAGTGAGGGACATTTCATTTGATTTCACTGCCACAGGAACAGAGCAAGTCTGGGGGTGACTCGATTGCAGTGAAGTTGAAACCAAGACTAAGAAAGGTGGCAGGCTGGTGTAATGTCGGCCACATCACCCACCGAAACCCAGTGGTCTATAAAAATATGAGTGTTATGTCATATGCTCAGTGTGACACTGACATAAAAAGAGTCCTTTACTTTTGCTGGTAAATAGGACATATAGAACTCGCTGTGTGGGTTCCGAGGCGTCATTTTAGGGAGGGGGGGGAGTATAGACGCACCGGCTTTTTAATAAGCATATCATTAAAGTTGACTAGGGGTGTTTCCTTTGAAGCCGGAGTGTATCTGCCTGAGAGACAAGGAACCAACAGTCTGCATACAAATAACCCAGATCTATCAAACAGATGTTCATGCAAAGCTCAAGTTCTGGAGCAGGACCAAAGTCCAGAGGTGGATGAACAGCCAAACTTTCTGCTGGAGTTTACAGCTGGTGAACGTGAAGAAGAAGAAGAAGATAACATATAGAACAATACCTTTTATTTGCTTCCTGAGGGAAGCATTGCTAATGTACCTAGTTAATTGTTGATACTTCCTATGTTATTTCTCCCATACTCCCTAATGAAGAATGAGGATGAACTGTTTTAATTGTGATCTTTTTTTTTTATTTTTTTTTATAGAACAGACATCACAGATTTGACCTTTTTCAGACTTTTGATGAGCCCGACATGTTCAGAATGATTGGCACACTTTGTGGCCTGGCCATCTACAACTTTACCATCATAGACCTGCACTTTCCATTGGCTCTTTATAAAAAGTTGTTAAAAAGGTCAGTACTGTTTGTGTATTTACTGAACCCTTTCACCCCAGGAACACTTAGAAAAATAGGTCATGACCCAGTTGTGATTTGTTTATAAAGATATTTGAAAGGAACAATTAATAAACACAAAAAGGGTGAAGCATTAAACTTGGCTTTGGAAATGCTGTTTGGTTCAAAGGCTATTTTAAGTTAACCTATTTATATCTTGACCTCCTAATTGTTTATGCGGGCACGAAAACAGTCAGTAGCATTACCTGCGCCTTTTTTAAACAGGTCACAGAAGACACGTCGCAAAAGTGATTTACAAGGAATTGGACCCAGCCAGAATTGTTGGTTTGTGCAGCTTTTGGGGCAAAAAGGTAAAATATTGCAGGATAATTCTTACAGAATCCTGGATCAAGACAAAAATGTGGGACATTTTACGTTTCCCGGTCCAGGATGAGAGTGACTTCCCTTGCCATTCTTAAATTGCTGTGTCACAGGGCTTGTCTTATGTTGCTGAGGTATCACGCTTAGTGACCGGCGGCTACAGGCAGCATTTTACTCATTGTTGTCACTGGGCAGTGATATCGCATATTATTCAGGATGTGAGCGCTTTAAACAGTAGCAAAACATGCCAAACTGGCCCTAACCTCAACCCATCTGCGCCCCACGAGAGAGTGCAGCCTAGGTCGCACGACTATATGCACTAGCCGGTGACAAAGCACGACACACCGGAAACATAGGACGAGCCCTATGACACAGTGATTTATGAATAGCAAAGGAAGTCACTTTCATTATGGGCCAGGAAACGTAAAAAGGACCAAAAATATTTCTTCTTGTTCACTGGCTGTAAATTCCAGCGGGAAGTTCTGGTTGGTAGTACATTTCTGGACTCTATTCTGGTTCAAGAACCTAAATGTTGCGTGCACATACGTTATACAATTCTCATTCATTTGTTTGTAAATTGTTTGTTCCTTGCCTCTCAGGCAGATGCACTTTCAACTTCGAAAGAAGCTCCCAGTTAGTCGACTCTTACAACAACCTATCTTGTTGGGGAGGCAGTGGGTCTATTCTTGTTCCCCCCCCCCCCCCCTCCTCCCACAATAATGCCCTGGAGCCCACATTGGGATGTCCATGATATTCTTCTGAAAAACTACATGTCTTTCTCTCTGAATAATATTCTCATCGTTCTTCTAAAAACATCTCCATTGCTTCTCTGTTCGGGACATTCTCCCATTCTTCTTAAAAACCACATGTCCATTGCATCTCTTTCCCTAATATTCTCAATATTCTTCTTAAAAACCACATGTCGATTGCTTCTTTTTCCGTGATATTCTCAATATTTTTCTTAAAAACCACATCTCAGTTGCTTCTCTTTCCGTGATATTCTCAATATTTTTCTCAAAACCACATCTCCATTGCCTCCAGATTGTTCACTGTTTCTCACTCTTTATCCCTCTGCATACTGATATATAGAGATTCAGAAAAGCAGGCCTAAGGAGAGACAGATAAAAAGGCAAGTTGACATTTAAGCAGACTAGAATTAAGCAGGTGAGTGTGGTGTGCGTCTAAAGGAAAGTAGAAAGATGTATTGAGATTGTGAGAGACAAGACAGTGATAGAAAGACTAAATAAACAGATAAGTTGGAAATTTAACATATTTTTTCCCCTAACAGAAATGTCACCTTGGATGACGTCAAAGAGTTAATGCCAGATGTTGGCAGGTATGTGGTTTATTTTTTTATGACATGATTATGTAAAATAAATAACATTTAAAAGTGAAAACTTAATTATTGGTTTTTGTTTATTTCAAAACATTTTTCCATTACAAATTTTAATATTGCAGTCACAAACAGTAAAAGTAAAGTAGAAAAGATCCCTTTTCACGTCTTAGGCACATCGGGTATATGGGAAGAGCACCCATATTTTTACAGACCATTAGACACTGGGTGGGTAATGTGGTCAGCATTACGCCCGCCGTCTTTACTTCCCCAGGACATCCATCCTGGTACCCATTTTAGGCTGGGTCGACCTACGACTCCCCATACAATGATGAAAATCCACAGTGCAAATAGTACCTTGAACAGTTTACTGGCTGGCATATTTTGCTGTATCTTGTTAGGTGCATTACTTCATAGTTAATCAACATTTATAATTATATTCTCTTTGCTGTAAACTTGCAACTGTTCTGTTGTAAATTTGAAATTATTTGTTCCTGCTGTAGTTGTAGAATGAATGTTAAATGTGGAATGTAAAAAAAAAATATTGACATTTTCATCGCCACTTGTAATTTTCTAGAGGTTTACAAGATCTCATCGACTTCGAAGGGAGTGAATTCTCAGATGTGTTTGGTTTAACATTTGAGGTAAGTTAACCTGAAAATAAAGCATGATGCTATTGTGCCTGGTTTGTAAGAGAGGATGTGTTTTTTTTCCCCAAACAGTTTCTTGTCTACTGTTGAAGCTGCTGTGGTTAAACACCTAGAGGCTCGCCTGCGGCTACAGAGTTTGTGGGTTCAGATCTGCATCTAGCCAGAGTTTTTTTTTTTTCAGACCTGACCTTGGCTCCTTGGTCAACCTAGACATAAATTTGTACCAGGTAAAGTCCTGGGAAGTAAAGGCAGCTGATGTGATGTTTCACCACATCACCCACCGAGTACTGATTAGTCTAAAAATATAGGTTTAACATTCGGTGCCCACATACACACTTATTAGGGATGCTAGTGAAGTTCATATATATTGGGTTGTTACCTCAGTGAAATCTGTAAATCAATTCTAAGCAGAGATATGAACATTTTAGTGGCCAATACCAACCACCTTAGACAAATTATAGTGCAAGCTGACAAAAGATGGATTCCGAGTTGCATCCTAGTAAAGTGTAGGCTTGAAATGAATAAATGTTTGCATTTCATATAAGGCAAAAACTACTTTTGTTTTCAATGAATTCCTTAGCAACCATATATCATTGCAATCAGGGCAGTGGGGTTTAACTGTACATTTCTTAAATACATACAATGCATTACAGGCCAAATACCCATATAAAAATGGCCCCCAGCTCACTGTTTTTAAGTAAACACTGTATAAATATATGGTAATCTGCCAATGAACCTGGCAAGATGTATACCATATTAGGCGGGCTAATGAGGTGGACATAAAAATCACAAAAATGTGCCGAAACAAAGTGACATGACCTAATTTACTTATAAAGATGGTAGCAGCTAAATTGTTTTGTTATAATGTTAGTAGCTTAGTATGCATTGAAGCTTAATTTTACCAAATATTACTAGTCAGTTTGGCCATTTTTGGTGAAATTCACAATCAGGACTTAGGAGTGATCAGATACAAATTTCTCAAACTGACATCATCAACAACCGATAATTAAGGTAGATGCATTGAAAATGCTACAGTGGTTGTAGATTAGAAATATATAAATCATATAGCAGCAGTAGCATTGTAGGCATTCAAGCTTCAATACCAAATATTACTAGTCAGTGTGTGGCTAGATCCTCGTGTGCGGATCGGAAGGTCATGGGTTCGCTCCCTGGTGGAGCCGGAATTTTTCAAAAATGACCTTGACTCCCAGGTTAACCCAGTCTTGAGTGGGTAGCGGGTGCAGTCCCAGGAAGTAAAGGCGGCCAGCGTGATGCTGACCACATCACCCATCTTGTGCCGATTGGTCTATAAAAATATAGGTCTAGCCCTATATGCCTAAAGGTGTGGAAAAGGGACCTTTTACTAGTCAGTGTGGCCACGTTAAATTCATGATATGGGTTTGATAGTGATCAGATAAACAAATTGTCAGACTAGTATATCATCAACTGAAAATTATGATAGATTCATTTATAAAATGCTAAAGTGATTGTAGATTTTTAAAATATAGGTCAAATAATGGTAATCACCCTGCCAATCACCCTGTTAATCACCATTTATCATTTGAGATTAATCATTTTCATAAAAAATATGCACTAGCCAAGACTGTCGTGGTGGTGTGATGATGGAAGGCTTAGTGACAAACAATAGATCTGTTAAAAAAACTGACTTTTAAAATGTTTCAAGTCATGTCACTTTATAAAATATAAACAAGGTAAATATTTTCATTCTTTAGGGAAATGAAATATGCATTTTGTGCAGTCAATATTATTAGTAGATAAATTTTAATTATAAACTGAATAAACATGTTCAGAATACACCATCTTTTCTTTTCCGAAACAGCATGGGTACAGAAAAATATTTTCTCAGTATTCATCAGAAACCAGTCAGTGTAAAACTTCCCATATTTATGTAAAAATGAACACGAAATGCAAAAGGTCATCATAAATTACGATAATCTTGCTAATTTGAGAGATATTGACAAACTTTTACATACCCTTCAACAAACTGTAATAGCCAGCTAATGAATGCGAGGCAAAAACATAAAAGCTTGCGGTTTCACAACTCGCCATCAGTTAAACAATTCTCAGTTCGTCATCAGTTAAACAACTCCTAATACTAGTATGGAGATTTCAAATCTCAGTCAACTGTACCAAATAACATATATATAAAACGGGTTTTAGTTTTAAGATTTTTGTCATGGTTGTAAATCATTTCATGTGTGCAGGACCAGAAGTAGGAATTTAATGTCACTTGCCTGGTACTGAAGGAAAGTATCTTGTTAAAATGTTTTCATTTCTTCCCATTTCACTGCTTCTGCTCCATCACTGATCAGTAATATCAATTATGACCTCTTAATTTTCCTGTTGGTCATTGTTAACCTTGGAATGTTTAAGATGATTGATTTTTATTTTTTTAAAGGATTTTTTAAAAGAAATTCCCTAAATTTGGGTCATTGTTAATTTTTCTAGGTCACCAGGGCAATAGGGTTTAAAACATTTCCACTTAATTTTCCTGTTAATCAGTGTTAACCTTGGAATGTTTAAAATGATTGCTTTTTATTAATTTTTTAAAGGACTTTTTTTTAAAGAAATTCCCTAATTATGGGTCAATTTTGATTTTTCTAGGTCACCAGGGCAATAGGGTTAAAACATTTCCACTACCTCCCCCCCCCCCCCCCCCCCCCCCCCAAATTTCAATCCCCTGATTCTTACATGCATCCAGTTAATCTCTTAACTGTAATGTACGGACTGTTTCAAGGTCATCCAAGAGCAGAATGGAGAGACTGGGTCCGTGGAATTGTGCCCCGATGGAGCTAACAGAGTGGTCAACCAGAGCAACAAGTCAGTTTATTCTTGTGTGTGTGTTTTTTTTTAAGCAATGTGTTATTGACAAATGAACAGTCTGTTATTAGCAAAAGAGGGCTAGGAACTTAGGCCTGATCAGAGACTTTGGTGACCATGACTTCTGGTCGGTATAGCAAATAGGCAGGTCTACTGTTTTTAGCCATGGCATGTTTTTTTCTTGTGACAATAGTAAGCTGTAGCATAAATAAATATATATATATATATATATAATATATATATATATATATATATATATATATATATATATATATATATATATATATATATATATATATATATATATATATATATATATATATATATATATATAGTTGAGTGCATGGCATGACACTGTGAGCTGTAGATTTTATTTGGAATGCTTTTTGACTGTGCCCAGTGTTTTTTTGTGTGTGTGAACTGCAGATTCATAAAATGGTGATTGGCCTGTTGCCAGAGATAATTGGTGATGCCTTATGCAATTAATTGCATGTGCAACTACTGGTCTGTTGTAGCTGCTGCTTCCATTGACGATGAACAGCATTTCTAGTGCCGGACTGTCCCTGTCAGCACTTCTGACGGCTGCCTTATGCATGTGTATGCTTTTGGCTTTGCTGAGACTGCAATCTGTTGATTTTGTAACTAGGAACAATGAGGCACAAGATATGGAAAAGCCTAATTGCCAGTGCCAGTCAGCAATGCACTTAATGATTGTGTGTGTGTGTGTGTGTGTGTGTGGCATGCGTGCATGCATAGTCCCAGACCATAAAGCCATCATTGAGATGATGCAGGTGCTGTTGTATTGAAAGCGGTAGTCTTTGTTCATGTTCGTTGCCGCCATAATCTTTAGTGTGTTGAGTATCTCACTGCTGCAACTTCTTCCACATGGTATGTGTATGGGTGTGTCTGTGTGTGTGTGTGTGTGTGTGTGTGTGTGTGGGCACACATATACGTGCATCCTTGCCCGGCCTGTCTGATCATATATTGCCGTGTTAGTCATATGTATTATTACATAAGATATTTTTCCAATAATTGATTAGGTAATCTGTTACTATGTGTCACACATATCTTATCTGCCATAGTTTACACAAATCTGTTACCATATAAACACATATATCTGCCAAAGACAACACAAATCTGTTTACCATGTTAACACAAATGTTTGCCGCAGACAATACAAATATGTTTACCATGTTAACACAAATGTCTGCCACAGACAACACAAATTTGTTTACCATGCTACCACAATTGTCTGCCGCAGACAACACAAATCTGTCACTACATGACATAACATGTATGCTATAAACAACATATTGATGTAGTTCCTAGGCAAGTTTTTGACCGAGCACTTGTCTTCCCCAGACTGGAGTACATCAATCTGTATGTAGATTATTTGCTCAATAAGTCGGTGAAGACTCAGTTTGATGCCTTCAGTGAAGGCTTTCATAACGTCTGTGGAGGTGTGGTCTTGGTAAGTAGGTAAAGTGTAATGTCAGTTAGTGTTTTTCTTCTTCTCATACTCCTCTGATTTTTCTTCTTCTTTCTTGTTGTTGTTGTTGTTGTTGTTCTTCTTCTTCTTCTTCTTATTCTCCTCCTCCCTCTTCTTCTCCTTCTTCTTTTTCTCCTTCTTCTCCTTCTTCTTCTTCTTCATACTCCTCTTCTCCGTATTTTTTCATTCTCCTCCTCTTCTTTTTCTTCTTCTTTCTTGTTGTTCTTGTTTTTCATTCTTCTTCTTTTTTTTTCTATTCCCCTATTCTTTTTGTTTTCAGTAACTTGTTGTTGTTGTTGTTCTTCTTCTTCTTCCTCCTTTTTTCCTTCTCTCTTTTTCTCTTTTCTTTCTTTTTATTCTTCCTTCTCATCTTTGTCTTCCTCTTACTCTTCTTCTTGTTGTTCTCTTTTTGATCCTCCTCCTAATCCCCCTTCTCCTAATCCTCCTTGTCCTTATCCTCCTTATTGTTTTCTTCTTTTTCTTTAGAAGGAGGGGCCTTTCTCTTAGTCATGAATCTTTTCAACAGCAGCAAGTGGACCCAGTCTTATCATACATTTATTTGAAAGCTTTTACTCTTCCACATACATCCCATTCAATTCAACAGGCTGTGAACCCTTTTTGTTGTTGCCAGGAACAACTTTATGGGGTGCTGCTCGAAATGTCCACCACCTGTGGAATTTGTCATGCCCACCTCCTGTTGTTTTGTTTTAGCCCGTATATGTCTGAGATGCTACCTATGCAGTCTGACTACCTAGGTGGGGGGGGGGGGGGGGGGGGGGGTGCAATGGCTGCTCATGGGTAGGCCTGCTGAACTGTAGCTTCTTGTCTTAGACATATGTGTACACACATAACATGTTGAACAGACTTCAGCTGTTGTACACATATGCATAAAAAGCTGTAGTTATGCACTGTCTACACATGAGCTGTCACTAGATGTTGAAGTGTAATGTTAGAAAATTATTGGGGTAAAATAGATTTTATTCCATATGTTTCGGTCTCTCTCCACAGAATGGCCAGTCTCCTGCATAGAGCATCATCACAAGCATGAAATCCGAAGCTCTGCCATCGATCTGTGAAGTTCTCTATAAGAACTGCACTTGTGAACTGAACGCTGCCACCATCAAATTAACCCATGACCTTCAGAGTCAGAAGCAAATGGCTTAACCACTTCGTCACGGAGACCCCTTCCCAGTGTTTCTAAGGCTTTATAATGGTTCTCTACTTGATTGACTTTGACATTGCACACTTGTGTATGTATAGAGAATGTCGAGAAAGGTGGAGACAGGCATGCTCCGTGCAGAGTGGCAAACATCACTTCAGAGGTCCCGGGTAGTTAGCGTCCTTTGGATATGTCAGTGGTTTGGGAAGTGAGCAGGCAGAAAGACTGGCCGGTTCTGCACCGCTTGGTGGGGAACTGATGAATGACAAGCTGGATGTTGTAAGGGCTCTTTGGGAGCGATTGAACAGTGCGGAGGCACAGATCATTACGATCTGGGTAGAATGGCACTACGAGTAGTAACAAGGGGATCTGGCCATCGCTCAACACTCAGGGCAAAGGCAAGACGGATATACAATTAGACAGTTAGTTACCGGTGCCATCGGAATTGAAACTCTTCACTTGCTGCTGAAGATGGGGATGGAGCGCTCATTGAGTGTCTCGAGTACTGTGATGTTGATTCATCATTCAGCATTCACCATTGTACTTGTGTATTTACAGGATTTGTTCCACCCTCAAGAACTGCAGGCCATGGTTGTGGGAAATGAAGATTATGATTTCCTCGAGCTTGAGAAGGTAAATTACATGTAATTGGTGGTTTGTGCATGTGTGAGAAAGTGTTTTGCCTTAATATATGTTGTATTTGGGACTGTCTTGAAGGACGTGATCTGTTGTCTCGGGGGCCAATCCGCATGTGCACATGGCTGGTTCGCCGATTTTAAATTCTGTGTACACGTGGCTGCAAAGTTGATTGTGTCCTGTTCTAAGGCGTAGAATAATATCTTGCTCTGGTCTGTCCAAAGTATGGTGATCATCTTGTGCCGTTTTTGGTGGTTTTCTGATTGATTTGATTATTCCCTTCTTCTGTTGATAAGAGACTGGTACGTCTAGGGGGCCATTCCCACAACCATGGCCTGCAGTTCTTGAGGGTGAAACAAATACTGTAAATACACAAGTACAATGGTTCTTTATTTGCACTTTCCTTACACTTTGCTAGCGGATCGTTGCCAGTTGTATTATAATAATTAATTATCTTTCTCTGCTAGGGCTCAGGCCTCTTGCCCATGAAGATCCCCATTTTCAAAACTGTGGCCATCCCCGTGTGGGTTCTGGGGCCCCATTGTGGGGGAGGGGGGGAAATAATAGACCCACTGCCTCCCTAACAAGCATGTCGTAGAAGTTGACTAATTGGGAGCTTCCTTTAAAGTTGGAGTGCATCTGCCTGAGAGGGAAGCAACCAACAGTCTGCATACAGATAAGCAAGATCTGTCAAAAGGATGCACATGCAAAATTCAGCTCCTGGAACAAAGCTAGAGTCCAGGAATGGATGAACAACCAGATCTTTCTACTGGGGTTTACAGCCAGTAAACGCGAACAACAACAACAAAAAAACTGTGGCCTCTGAGTAAACATAAGGGGTCACTACACGGCATTTTTTCCAATTTATGACAAAAATATCACTTTTTCAATGTGTTCGTTTTTGTAAAGTTCGGCATTCGTAGAATAGATTACACACAAAATTTATGTCATTTGTAAACAATTTAGCATTGAAAAGTTCATATGAAAGGCACCAACCCATGCACTTTTTAAAGATAAAAAAAAGTTTACAAGTCAGTTTTCTGACATCTCTATATTTCTGTTTGTTGTTTGTGTGAAATCCTAAAATCTTACCTAATAAAAAGACTAGAAACATAAAATTTAGTATGGATACTCCTTAAACAAAATTATAGGGACTGGTCTTTCTAAAAGTAGATTTTAGAAAGTTTTTTTTTTTTAAATTTGATTATTGTCTTATGATGCAAGATTTGTTTGACTTTTTCAATAAACCACATTTTAAAATTCAACGAAAACTATTTAAAAACACGTTTAAAGTAAACAAACTACACCTGTACCTTTAAATATGATAAAAGTCATGAATCTATCATTTATTATTTAATACGTATGCTTGTTTCTAAAATTTTAGGATTCTAAGTGCATGTTGTTTTTTCCCCCCAGATGGCGGCTATTGTTATGACAACCATATTTTTTTTTACACTTAAAGTATGCAAATGTAATATAACATGTATCCCTTCAAATGACCATTATAAAATAATTGCTCTAACTCTGTAAATAAAAAAAACTTTGTTGGACGTAGTGACCCCTTAACTGAATAGCTCTGGTAATTGGTTTACCATGTTGAATTTTCATGATATTACGTATTGTTTACCTGAATCTTGATTACTGTGTATGTTTGTGTGTGCACAGAACACTGACTACAAAGGGGAGTACCATCGCTACCATCCAACCATTAGTTTGTTCTGGGAGGTGTTTCACGAGTTGAGTCTGGAGGACAAGAAGAAATTTCTCTGTGAGTCAAAGATAGTTAATTTTAATTTATTTAATAATGATAGAAGCAGTTTAAGGGAGCCGCTGTGGTGTAGTGGCTAAACGCTCGCCTGCGGATGGGAAGGTCGTGGGTTCATGTCCTGATGGAACCAGATTAGTCAAAAATGACCTTGCCTTCCTGGTCAACCCAACCTAAATGGGTGCCAGCTACAGTCCTGGGAAGTAAAGGTGGCTGGTGTGATGCACATCCCCCACCAAGCACAAACTGGTCTATAAAATATAGGTCTAGCCCTATATGCCCAATACACCTGAAAGCGTGAAAAGGGGTACTTTATTACCTTTTTAGAAGCAGTTTCCTGCTGGCATATTTCACTGTGTGTGTCACACACTGGTTTTGAGGTTCTTCTTAAAGTCCATGCCGTATTAGTAGTCCTGTCTATCCACAACCTTCTGTCTCGTGTTCTTTCAGTCAAGTCTTGACACAGATGATCCTCTATGCCATAATGTCAAACTGCCCAGCATTTTGTCTCTGGGTCTCTTCTTTAGTGGCTTAGAGGTTAGTGAACGAGTTTAACAGTTTCATTATCCCTGAGTACTAGTACTTATAAGGCAGAGAAGATGGCGCTGAATTGGACACATTCTGAGAATAGTCAAACAGAGAATTATTACACAGGTACTGAAATGGAAAATAGATGGATTGAGGAAATGAGGACTTCTAAAATAAACCCTAAGGTGAACGTTAATGACAGACGCCAAAATGATCTGGACTGGATAACATGTATGATATGGAGGTGATAGCACAAGATAGAACAGAATGAAGATAAAGCTGCTAGCTCTATGTGACATGTAATGGCACAATAGGACAACAAACTAATCAGGTTTCCGTTGCTCTAGCGGACAGTTTATATTGACATTTTTTATTAAAAGCTCTCATGGTTTTCAGTCAGCAGTACAAGAGCGACAACTGATGGATAGATACCAGCATCTGTGTAGCATATACCAAGGCTCACACCCGACGCCTTCTGGAAACTTGGCGCTAAATGGGCAGAACATGACCGAAGAAGAAGTACAAGAGGTAAACGATAGAAGAGAGTGGGGCCTCAGCACTTAATATTGCCACAGACTGCAGTGGGCTAGACAGTAGCCTTCATTGAACCAGAGTCATAACTAGGCTTGTCCCTGACAGGCCAGTGTCATAACTAGGCTTGTCCCTGACAGGCCAGTCATAACTAGGCTTGTCCCTGACAGGCCAGTGTCATAACTAGGCTTGTCCCTGACAGGCCAGTCATAACTAGGCTTGTCCCTGACAGGTCAGTGTCATAACTAGGCTTGTCCCTGACAGGTCAGTGTCATAACTAGGCTTGTCCCTGACAGATCAGTCATAATTAGGCTTGTCCCTGACAGGCCAGTGTCATAACTAGGCTTGTCCCTGACAGGCCAGTGTCATAACTAGGCTTGTCCCTGACAGGCCAGTCATAACTAGGCTTGTCCCTGACAGGCCAGTGTCATAACTAGGCTTGTCCCTGACAGGTCAGTGTCATAACTAGGCTTGTCCCTGACAGGTCAGTCATAACTAGGCTTGTCCCTGACAGGCCAGTCATAACTAGGCTTGTCCCTGACAGGCCAGTCATAACTAGGCTTGTCCCTGACAGGTCAGTCATAACTAGGCTTGTCCCTGACAGGTCAGTCATAATTAGGCTTGTCCCTGACAGGCCAGTCATAACTAGGCTTGTCCTTGACAGGTCAGTCATAACTAGGCTTGTCCTTGACAGGTCAGTGTCATAACTAGGCTTGTCCCTGACAGGTCAGTGTCATAACTAGGCTTGTCCCTGACAGGTCAGTGTCATAACTAGGCTTGTCCCTGACAGGTCAGTGTCATAACTAGGCTTGTCCCTGACAGGTCAGTGTCATAACTAGGCTTGTCCCTGACAGGTCAGTGTCATAACTAGGCTTGTCCCTGACAGGCCAGTCATAACTAGGCTTGTCCCTGACAGGTCAGTGTCATAACTAGGCTTGTCCCCGACAGGCAAGTGCAGGAATGCTGGATTTTTTTCAGCTTTCAACTGAATTTGTAATGGATGCTGTGCTGCAACTTGGAGCCAAAAAATTGAGTTGTATCCACAACTTCTTATATTTGTGAAGTTTCTCTTTACCTAGTTGTATTTTTTTTTTTAAACCAGTGTTTCTGACTGGAAGTGACCGCATCCCCGTCTTTGGTATGAAATATGTGAAGGTAAGTAGATGCAGCAGCGGTTGTTTTGTTCATTCTTGTCACAAAGCATTTGTTGTCTTCTCTGTGCTGTGTTCTGGTTGGTGGACTAGAATCTTCCGACTGAAAATAGGACACTGTAAACTCAGAGCATACTTACATTGAATGGGTCCTACTTATACTGCCATATGTGAATGTGGAGCACCAAAGCAAACTCTAGATTATGCTTGATGATACAAAAGCACACTCTAGATTATGCTTGATGATACAAAAGCACACTCTAGATTATGCTTGATGATACAAAAGCACACTCTAGATTATGCTTGATGATACAAAAGCACACTCTAGATTATGCTTGATGATACAAAAGCACACTCTAGATTATGCTTGAGGATACAAAAGCACACTCTAGATTATGCTTGATGATACAAAAGCACACTCTAGATTATGCTTGAGGATACAAAAGCACACTCTAGATTATGCTTGATGATACAAAAGCACACTCTAGATTATGCTTGAGGATACAAAAGCAAACTCTGGATTATGCTTGACAATACCAAAGCAAACTCTGGATTATGCTTGACGATACCAAAGCAAACTCTGGATTATGCTTGACGATACCAAAGCAAACTATGGATTATGCTTGACAATACCAAAGCAAACTCTGGATTATGCTTGACGATACCAAAGCAAACTCTGGATTATGCTTGACAATACCAAAGCAAACTCTGGATTATACTTGACAATACCAAAGCAAACTCTGGATTATACTTGACAATACCAAAGCAAACTCTGGATTATGCTTGACAGTACCAAAGCAAACTCTGGATTATGCTTGACAATACCAAAGCAAACTCTGGATTATACTTGACAATACCAAATCAAACTCTGGATTATACTTGACAATACCAAAGTAAACTCTGGATTATACTTGACGATACCAAAGCAAACTCTGGATTATGCTTGACAATTTTGCCTAGGAAATTTGGCCCATAGAAGCAACACTGCAAGATAAACTATGCATAATCGGTGAAACCTCTTGCACACTGTCCTTTCTGTGACCTTTCTGAAATACATACATAGCAAACATTGATTGCTGAAGAAGACCTTGGTAGAGAAATGCTTTCTGATTTGTGCAAATCCGTATGTGCGCGACACACAGTCAATACAGACTGTGTTGTTTGGGCAAATCGCAATTTCTCCGTTAACACACACTGCGTTGCTTGGGTCTGAAAGAGTTAACTTTCTGAGTCCCAGGGGGTTTAGCATCATAGGCCAAAGAGGTGATAATTCAATTTTTGTATTTCACAAGTGTGTAACACATTATAACATACTATACAAATTTAGCTGCTGTGCAACATACAGATATTATACATCAAAGTGACCAGGGATTGTTAGTAAATAATAATAGATTACTCCTACAACAAATAATTGTGTTAGTAGTTTAATATTAGTACATGAGCAGACGGCATGTTTACAGAATTAGTAAAATGGAATACATTTATCCACTTACCACCATGGCACTCAAGGAAAACTCGTTAAAAGTATATCCAAAATAAATTACAAATGAACATGAACCACTTAGTAATGTATAAGTAAAATTTGAACTCAATCTGTACATAAGATCTTGTTCCAGAGAAACTTTTGAAGCATCGTAACAGAGCACCATTATTTGGCAAAAATGACTTACCAAAACAATTAGTATCTTCACACAAAACAAAGTTTATATAAGAATCAATTTGCCTGTAATTTTGTAGTTATGTTTCTAAATAATAAGAAAAGTAGCTCTAGAAATAACCGACACTGAAGATGCTTTTTCTCTAATATTTATTCTATTTGGGCCAGCTGACTTTGCTATCGTTGTACCCTTTGAGTGACGTACACATTCGAGCTATCCCTCATCAAAGTTTGACTCTATAAATGACTGAATCAAGTCGACTTTGCCACAGTATCTATCTAACTTCGACAAATATAATAAACACATGTTTTCATTAAATTTGAGACATCTAAAGCTGTAAATCATGTTGGCATGCATGTAGAATACTGCTCGGTGGCCATTATGTTTTCAAACAAACACTTAGTAACTCAGTAAACCTTGCAAATATACTATATTTTAGGCTTTTAGCCACGTTTCCAAATAAGTCTGATGATCAGCACGCCTGATATAAAAAAACTAAGAACTGGAAAGGTAGTTGAAATTGAGCGATCCACGTTTAATTACTGGTCAGTGATAAATTAAAAACCTTCACTCATCAAACTCGAAAGAGTTAAATAGGCGTTGGCACATTGTGTTGTGGTTTACAGCTAGGCTGTGATTTTTGCGCCTTTTGGCCCAACACATTTGATTTTAGCAAATCCTTAAGTGGCTTTTTAAAGCATGCTTGTTGAGCACAGGGTCTGTTCATTTCCCCCAAAAAAACTGGGTCCTCGAGCAGATCTTACTGGTCGAACTCACCATTGCCCTAGGTTGTGTTTCTCGTAAGGAAAAAGCCATAATAATTTATTTATATTTGACTTTGGTTGTCGTAAGTGTCCCCCATTTCGTAAATCAGCAGACACATTTTTTGCTATCTTCCAGATGATTATTCAGCCTACAGGAGGAGGCGAAGAGTACTTGCCCGTCGCTCACACATGCTTCAATATCCTTGACCTGCCTAAGTATACCACCAAGGAGAGGCTGCAGGCGAAACTGCTACTAGCTATTGAACAAACTGAGGGCTTTGGTTTAGTGTAGGGAGCTTTAATTTGAGAGAAATACATGTATTTGTTCAGGCAAGAATTAGGATGGCAGCGTTATTGGTAGATCTGATTAAATTACATGCAATAGTCAGTTTTTTGACACGCCTTGCAGAACCTCTGTCTAAATATTTCACCATAGCTCTTCTTGCTGAGGCAGAAAGAAAACAGATTTAGTGTGCTTTTGAAGTGTGTGTATGCTTTTTTTTAAATTATAATTATTTAATCCAGTATTTTTTTAATGAAAACTAAATAAATTAGAAGCGTTTTTGATAAATTAACCAGGAAGCATTCCTCAAATTAGTGTGATATTGACTGTGTAAATTAATAACCAACCACACGTCTACCAGGTTTGAGCATCTTAATTGGCCATATCCCACTGAATGTTTGGCATTCTCATGAAGCGAGTACCGTGCAGAACGTCACTGTCATCACAGCACTCCGGAAAGCCACTTAGTCAACTGCAAATATTGCTGTCCCTAAACTGTCAAGCCGCCAGTTTAGTTTATTTATGTTTACTCAGTTGACGAGGATTTTTTTTGTTTAATGCACAGTTAAGTTGAGTTGAGAACTATCACACTCTGGACATTCCCATAAGCGCTTCGTCCTCATCTTCAGCATTCAGCAAAGCATTCATTCTTAGTGTTTACCGGCTGGAAACACCAGCGGAAAGTTCTAGTTGGTCTTGTTCCATAATTTTTGCATGTTTATCTGTTTTACAGATCTGGCTTATTTTTATGCAGTCTGTTGGTTCCTCACCTCTCAGACAGCTGCAGTCTGACTATGAGAGAAAACCTAAGTGTGAAATCCTTGTTTCAAGAAAATCATGTTCAAACATTAGGATTTCTCTTTAAAACAAATTATATAGTAGCCTGAAAATTAAAAATTAATTTTGAGTGTATGGGAATTCACAAGTGTTTCTTTGGCATATTATAAAGTGAGAAGTAACAGCCCAGAAAATGCAGTTAGGTGAAGATCGCCAAAATTGCACTTTAGCATAGCGATAGCGATGCTATCTCTACCATCTTCTTGGTTTTTGTGTGTGGTACTATCGAGTGCCAGTTGGTTAAAAAAATCTATAGTACTGTCATTGTAAACACAGTACCCTTGAAGACACAGAAGGTTTCATGTATAAAGTAAGTAAAGTAAAGGTCCCTTTTCCACGCCTTTAGGCGTATAGGGCATATAGGGCTAGACCTATATTTTTATAGACCAATCGGCACAAGATGGGTGATGTGGTCAGCATTACGCCGGCCACCTTTACTTCCCTGGACTGCACCGGGTACCCACTCAAGGCTAGGTCGACCTGGGAACCAAGGTTATTTTTTAAAATAGTCCGTCTCCGCCAGGGAGCAAACCCACGACCTTCGGATTCGCGGCGAGCATCTAGCAGCTCGGCCACGGCGACCCCCGTTTCAGGCATACTTGTTATTTATATCTTTACTTCAGTAAGTCCAGGAGAGGTCATATATTTATTTAGTTACTTGTAAATTTAAATACAAAAATTGCATGTCAAAAACAAATTTCCTTTAGAAACTCTGAATGCATTTGAGTGGGCTTGATAAAATACTGTTGTTTTTTTCCCTAAAATCTTTAGGAAACTTTAGTTGAACACAAAGTGTTTTTTAGCTTTAAAACTAGATTTCTTCAGCAGGATTATTTTTTGGTTTACAATTACGTTATCATTTTTGGCAACCATTGAGTTTCCTAGTTAATTAGTCAACAGGTCATACTTGTTGCTAATGAAACCATTCAGTCCATTAGTGTTCTGATCCCCCTCCTCAGTGAATCCCACTCATTTTAGCAGCTGATGATGCCAGCTCTGCTTTTATGCCTCATTTAATTATGAAAAGAGTGACTGTCCCTCTGTATATGTGTCAGAAGTCTGCTTTGTTAACTACAAAGAGAAGGTAACACCATTTCATTTGAAGCAGACCATGCTGCAGAAGTTGCCAGATCAGAACAGCATTGCTCTGTCTGCCTCTTGTAGCTTCCCTCCTAGATGACCAGCTGCCAACCAAGGCTAAGGGTCTAGTCTGCCATGACTGAAAAAATGGATACTGTATATCCTTGGTTACCTTAGCATTATTAAGAAGAGCTTGGAGACAACTGAGATGTGGCGAGGCACTCGATGATGATGATAACTTAGCATCCTGTACATTAGAATGATTCAACTGGTGGTCAGCGGGCAAATCTGGCCCGCAGAGACCTAGCAGGTGTTTTGCAGATCACGTGCCAGTTGTACTGTATCAATGATCTTTCTGTGCTAGGGCTAGGGCCTCTGGCCTGTGACAATCCCCATGTTCCAACATTTTGGCCCCTGAGCTCACTTAACTGAATGACCCTGTTGTACATAATCAGTAGGCATACAGTGAGTTTGCTAGTCCTGAAAGAGTTAGACCAGATTTGGTTTATCTTTAAACCTCAGACTTTAACATACCCTAGACAGACACTAAAGTCTTACTGACTGATCAAGACAGACACTAAAGTCTTACTGACTGATCAAGACAGACACTAAAGTCTTACTGACTGATCAAGACAGACACTAAAGTCTTACTGACTGATCAAGACAGACACTAACGTCTTACTGACTGATCAAGACAGACACTAGTGATAGTAATCAAGAACCATAACATCATATATATGTGTGTGTGCTTGTGTATATGTGGGCCTAAATTTAACAATCTGCTATTGTGAAGAGCTGAAGCCAAGAAATACAAGTTATCTATACTTCCAAGGCATTGCTTTCTCTCTTTGGTTTTCTTGTTTCATTTTGGTTTCGGTAAGATGCGGTTTCTTTGGATTCATATTTTGTTCATTCTTTGTTGCACTGGATTATGTGGATATTTGTTGCAGTATTAATCGTTGCAATACTCTGCCTGGTTTGTATTCATAGAATTCAGTATTTTCTAAATTTAAGTGTGTTTGAATGAGACATCTCTTTTTCTGCATTTGGCCGTTGGCACATTATGTTGGGGTGTGCAGCTAGACTGCGATATCTGCCTTTCGGCCAAGAACATCCGATTTCAGCAAACCCTTAATTAGACACCATTTACAATATATTTGTTGGGGGCAGTGGTCGTATTCTTTTTTCTTCCTGTAATGGAGCTCAGACACCCACTCATTTTCATTGATGATTGATCAACATGTACGCTGCTGTATGTGTCATATTTTGTTGGCTTTTGCACACAAATCTACATGCTATATAATTCAACATGATTTTGTAATAGATCCACTACTTTTTTCCTTTTTTTTTTGTTAATGATGTAGTTGCCTTTTCAGTTCCTTTGTTTATGATAACAGTTTTTTTCTGCATTGACAGTTTATTTAAGATTTGTCTGCAGTTCATTCAGTTACACTATCAGCATTTGCCTGTTGAATGTTTGCTTGTTGTTTCATTGATTTGATTATCATTTAACTACGGCAGTTTTTAATACATTTCATTAACCTTTTCAATCCCAAACAATGCACTATGTTGCACTGGATGTATTGCTCATATGCACCAGTCATTTCTGTAAATTTTTATATCTTAAGCTATGTCAGGCAAACTGAATTTCCATGGCGTGTGTATGGCCTCCTGGCTGGTTGCCTCCGACTTTAGCACCTTGTTTTGCTAAGGTAGACTGTGATCATACTCGAGGAGCTGTCTGGTTTTACGGTGCCAAAAACTACTGTCCCATTGTGGAGTGCCTGGAAATGAGAAAGCTGATCAATTGGCAGGGAAAGGTGGGACAAAAAAGCTGGATGTACCAGTCACATACCAGCAAAAGAAAAGAATCATTAAATCAATCAAGTAACCACCAGCCCCAGCACAAGACGACTATTTTATTATTGACAGACCAGAACAAGTAATTATCCTCCGCCTCAGAACAGAGCACAACCGATTACCTAACCACATGTACACAAAATTCAAGATGGGTGTATCAGCCATGTGCACCTGTGGAAAGGTGCCCCAGATATCAGAACATATACTCCGAGACTGCACCGAATTGGATACATTAGAGCAAACCTTTTTGGCCAGAAAGAATAACAGTGGAACGTAATCTCTAATGAAAACTGTACGAACTAAAAACAACAGTGAAATTTATATGAGAGACAAAATTGCTGATATAGACAACTTATTTCAGGCGAACGAAAGAAGAAGAAGAAAGGCAAACTGATTAGTCCAACAATACAAGTCACTCCACAGTGTGCTGTCTATTGGAGTTAATACTGTTATCTGTAAAATGTACAACCAGTTTTGTACATACTACAAAAGTTGCTAGTAGAATTTGGAACTCTTTGCTTGCTGCTGAACATGAGAACAGAGCGCTTATCCGAGTGATATAATGTCGATTCTTAATTCAACTGAACATTCATTGTGGTAGCAGATTCATTCTTTGTTATATCTGTTCACAGTTCTCTATTAGCAGCGGGAACCACACTTAGACTAGCACACTTGTCAGCTGGCTTAGTAATCATATGTTTATGTGTTCATGCCTAGAGCATTATACAAAGCACAAACTCTGTAGCTCTGATGATGACCCCCAGGGATTTCTGTAAAAATCAGATCCATGAAGCAGATGGTGCAGCCATAAAACAAACCCATGACTTTCAGTGCATGACAAATGGCCTGATCACTTTGCCATGGAGATCCCTGATAGTGAGATAGAGTCTTTAAAGTAAGTTGTAGAACCTTTGTTGGTGTATGCAGTGAGATAGAGTCTCTAAAGTAAGTTGTAGAACCTTTGTTGGTGTATGCAGTGAGATGGAGTCTTTAAAGTAAGTTGTAGAACCTTTGTTGGTATGTGCAGTGAGATAGTCTCTAAAGTAAGTTATAGCACCTTTGTTGGTGTATGCAGTGAGATAGAGTCTTAAAAGTAAGGTGTAGAGCCTTTGTTGGTAAATGCAGTGAGATAGTCTCTAAAGTAAGTTATAGCATTTTTGTTGGTGTATGCAGTGAGATAGAGTCTTTAAAGTAAGGTGTAGAACCTTTGTTGGTGTATGCAGTGAGATAGT